CAACTCCCAGCAGGCCCCGCTTTGTTTGCGGAGCTCTCGGCGCGCGTTGAGTGACGCGCGGGGCCGGCCAACCGCCGCCAGCGGCTTGGTAGTACCTGACCGTATATGGTCAACAACGGCGCGGCCCCCAATGGGAGGGCGGCGGGGGCGGGCCGCGCGCGGGGCGGGGCCGGGGCGGGGCCGCGCGGTCACGTGGGAGCGGGCGGTGTTTACAGTCGGCCGCGTGCGGTTTCCTGTTGACGTGAGGGAGTGGCGGGGCCGGGCCGGGCCGGGCCGGGCCGAACCGAACCGAACCGAACCGAACCGAACCGAACCGAACAGGGCCGAGCCGCGCCGCGCCGCCGCCCCTCGGCACCGTAAAACTTCTGCAGGCCCTGCCGTTACCCTCCTGCAGCCTACGGGGGTTTGGTGGAGCCGCCTTGGCTCGTAGCTGCCGTACAACTCCGTGGCCTGAGAGGCGGTGGAGCAGCAGTCCCTTGGCCCCCGCGCCCTCCATCAGCGCTACCACCCCTTCCTGGTCCCGTTTTCCCCTCAGCCGCAGCGTGTCCGTGCATCACTGAGGCGGCTGACGGGAGCTGAAGCGAGAGGCGGCAGCGAGGGAAGGTTCTGGAAGGTGCCGGGGGGTTCCTGGCGCCGTGAAAGGCTCCTTTGAGAGCATTTACGGCATTGCCACAGCAGATGAAATCTGGCGGCCGGGCAGGCGCTGCAGGGCCCGGGAGAGCGCACAATGGTTGTTGCTAAGGATAAGCAGGCACGGACACGCGGTTGAGTGGCCGGGGCTAATAACACCGGGGGAAGGGAACTGCCGCTCCAGCCGCCTCCACCTTTCCTGAGCGGTGGTTCTGGGCTGTTTCCTGCAATTTGGAGGGGTTTAGCCTGGCCGTGAGTGCGTTGTTCGCTAACACCTCTGACCCTGGCTGGCATTTTGCAGGTGTTTCTGAGCCGTGAGGATTAAGTGGCTGAAGCTCGGGTAGGTAATACACTTGATCGGTGGGGTTTGCAGCCTCCACTATGTGGACAGGAATTGCTCTGGTATTGTCCAAAGCTAGTCACCATTTCCCACGTGTTCTTTAGTAACCATTCTGGCGTTACACAACCGTTCAGCCTCTCCAAGCCTTGGAGAATTTCAGGGCCAAGGGGTTTTCCTTTTTCTTGTTCTATATATCTCGCTGCCTAAGTCCAAGTGAGAGTGCAGCTGTATTTGGCAGTGGGACACATCAAGATGCGACCGCTCATTTCTTACAAGGTCAAGACAACCCCCAGAGAGAAGTGGCACAGGGAGATTTGTAGCCACCAAGGTGTAAATACAGCTGGAAAAACAAATCTCCTGAATGATTATTTTAATCTGAAAGAGCCAGGCATGTTTAGAAACCTTGGAGTTTGGTGTTTGGAAGGAGAAGGGTTGGGCCTGGCTCAGCAGGGCTTTTGGGAAGGGTTGTAAGCTCTCTCCAGAGCAGGGCAGTGTTCAGGGAGGCAAAGTTCAGGGGCTCACCACTCCTTCTGGTGAGCTGTAACTCCTTGTGTTGTCTCCAGGGCTCCTGAACCTTCTTGTTCTACACTTACCCAACAAATACAGCAAGTGGCAGTGGGAACAACTGAGAGAAAGCAATTTGCCTCACTGGGCAATAAACCCCCAAGCAGCTGGACTTTGGATGAGCTGCTCTGGTGATCGGGAGCTTTGCAGGGAAACATATTTCCTTGTTTACACAGGTGTGCTCGTAGCTGCCTCCCCAGCAGACATGTCCAAGAAGACTCCTGAAGGGCAGCTGGGGGTGGCTGGAGAAAGGTGGCAGTGGGAGGGGTGGGTGTCCCTCTGGCCCACCTGCTTCCCCTGAGCTGCACCTCTGTGGATTCTTCTTCCTGGGGTTCAAATGATCCTTCCTCTTTCCTGCTGCTCTTCCCCACATGGTGCTGGAGAATGGCTCCAGGATCATCTTTTCCTGAGTGGGTTTTGCAGAGCTGGAAGACAGTGCAGGAGCTGAGGTCTCCTCACCACCCCAGAGCAGAGAGGTAGCTCTGCAGCCTCCTGGTGGCAGCAGCCCTGGCCCAGTTTCACCCTGGTCCTCCCCAGTTTGACCACTCTCACCCCACACCATGATGGCACTCAGGGGTCTCAGGCTCCCTTGAACCATGTGGAAGTATTTTCATCCCTGTCTCACAGACAGGGCTTTCCTTTGTGGAAAAAAAAAAAAGCTTTGTGGCTTTCCTCCCCCATGGTGTCAGCAGACCCTGGGGCTGGCAGCACCAAAATGGGAACAAACTCATCTCAGGGAACCCAGAGGTGAAGGTGCAAAACCCACTCAGGTGCCACCACCAGGGTTTGCGGGGCTGTTGCTGCTTCTTGCGCAATGGGCTGGGGGGACTGCTGCTCCTCCAGCCCACGGGACCCACCTGAGGAGCTGTGGGGGGCTGGCAGGGTAGCCCTGCTCCCTGCCCCGGGCCTTCCACTCTCCTTCCCCATGCTGCTGGCAGTGGCCCTTGATGGGATGGAGGAGGCCGTGGTGCAATATCCTGCCTTTGTTTGTGTCAGCGCCTGCATCCCGCGGGCCGAGCAGGGGCAAAGGAGCTGCTCCCCTTCAGCTCCGCTCACTCCGGGCCCTGAGATTCGGGGCGGAGGGGCTGAGCCAGGCCCTGGCACGCTGCTGCTATTGTCGCTGTCTGTCACGGAGCAGGGCCCTCTGGCACGGATTCTCCAGCTAAAGCTCCTGCCCTCCCAGATGGCAAAAACCCCCACGGGCCCGATGGCTTCCTCTGAGCGCTCCGGAGAGCCGGGCGGCCCGGGAGGGACCTTCCCACTGGTGGAGGTTTTGCATGAACAAAAGACCTCCTGCCGCAGCTTCCCGGGCAGAGCCAACACCCCGCGGCTGTGGGACCTGGCTCTCCCCTGCTTAACCCACGTGGCACCGAGCTCCCGGTGAGCAGCACGGGCAGCTGCTCAGAGAATGTGGATTTGGAGCAAGATGATCTTTAAGGTCCTTTTCAACCCAAACTATTCCAGGATTCCGTGATTCTGTCCCCCAAAAAACCTCGGGGAACAGCTTTGGGGCAGTTGCCTCTTTGAGCTGGAGAAGAGCTCTCGGTGCTCAGGTTGTGGGAGGAAAGGGAGAAGGGACTCTCATCTTCTGTCTGTTCCCTTCCTTGCCTGCCTCATGGTGCAAACACTGCCCTGCTTTGTCCCCAGGCTGTGGCCAGTGGGCCACCAGTTCTCAGGACTGCACAGGGAGATGGACCCACTGATCTTTGCAGTGCCCAGTCTGCTCCAGCACTGAACCCCAAATCAGTTGCTGGCCTGCAGAGTGCCTCTGGGGGGTTGTAGATTCACCCTGCTCAGTTTGGGGCTGCTGGTGGCACAGGAGCTGTTTGCATCACCCCACTGGTTCCAGGGCACTGCCCAGAGCTTGTTCCTATGACTGTGCAGGCAGGGAGCACTGGACATGCTCTGGACCAGTGTACATGTCACTGTGATGGTCAGCAGACTCCATGCCTCCCTGCTTGTGCAACTTCTGCTATGAGAAACTCTTGCACGAAGAGGCTTCTTGAGCAAGAGGCACCATCACATCCTGGGGCACACGGGCACAGTTACTGCCAAGGCACTGCCAGACAGAGCCTGGGGCTCCCCTGTGCCAGGTGCAGGGTACCCAACTCTCATAGCTGGCCAGCAGGATTTGTTGCTCATTCCATATTTTTTCCCTGCCCTCCTTCCCAGCCCTGCTGCACAACGGGATGCAGAAGAGAGCAAGGTCTGCTCCTGCTCTGTCCTCACCCCCAGCATGTGTTCCCCTGCATCCTGTGCCTCTTACAGCCCCTCTGGCTGTGTTCGTGTGGCCACAACAGCTGCAAGGATAATAACTGTCCGGAAGCACGTTTTGCCTCGGGATTGTTTGCTTATTCCCGCTGGGCGTGTTTTAGTTTGTGTTTACAGCCAGCAAATTCCACCCACTGCCTGCTCACTTGCTATCACAAAATCCTCCCATGCTGGCAGGCTCTGCTCCCTGCTCCATCCCAATTCCCTGAACCCCAGCCCTCTTCCCTGCTCCTAAGGCAAATTTAAGTGATTTCACATGTGCCACCTCAGTTCCTTCATGTCTCCCAGTGATTCCCAACTCCACTGCTGGGAATTTGGGTCCTCAGTTCCTTTACAGCATATGTGCAGGATGGTACTTCCCATCACTCTTTTCTCTGTTCCTCGGTGCCAGAGGGGACAGGGCTCAGTCTTGGGACACTGGTGGCTTTTTGTGCCTCTTCCTCCACACTGTCCTCCCGACTGTTGTGTCCCACATGAGAGGCATCCCGTGGCCATTCCCTGTTCTCACATCCAAACCTCAGGCATCTCCATTTGCTCTTGTGTGTGCAATACCTGTGAGGGGAGGAACCCGGAAAGGAGAGGCTTCCCCATGGGAGGCTGATAACCTTTCCTGCTGGCTTTGAGCCTCAGCCAGTAGCAGGTCCCACCTCTGGGAGCTGTCCTGGATAATTCTCCCTGGGCATCCCTGTGCAGGTTCTGTCTCTTTATGCATCTTCCCTGTGCCAGATGTGTCCCTGGGAATCCGCCCCGCACATCTTGTGCAGACATGACCTTGGGCATTCTTCCTGTGCATCCCTGTGCAAGGTGTGTCCCTGGGCATCCATCTTCCCTGTGCTTCCCTGGGCGACGTCCCAAGCGCTTCTCCATCTAAGGTGTGCCCCCGGTGATCTCCATGCCCCTCCCACACAGAGTGCCCCATGCCCATCCCTGGGCCCACTCCTGTTCCCATCCTTGTTCCCATCCCCATTCTCACCCCCATCCCGTTCCCATCCCCGTTTCAGCCGCAGCGCTTTCTGCCGGTGGAGCTCACTGCGCGCCCCGGGGGAGGCCGTGTGGCGCCATCGCCCCCCCGCCGCCCCGCCCCGCCTTTGGTAGGCGCCGCCGCGGTGGCTGCCGGGAGCTGTAGTCCCGGGGCGGGCGGACTCGCTGTCCCGGCGTGCCCCGCGCCGCCGCCGTGGGTGCGGGTCCCGGTACCGCCGCCGCCGCCGCTCTGCGCCCCCGGGCCGCCCGCCCTGTCCGCGGCCGCCATGGGCTCCCTGCTCAGCCGGCGCATCGCGGGCGTGGAGGACATCGACATCCAGGCCAACTCGGCCTACCGCTACCCGCCCAAGTCCGGTGAGGGCCGCGGGGACCGGGGAGGGGGACAGGCCGTGCCGGGCGCGGTGCCGCCCGGGCCGAGCGGGGAGGCCGGGGAAGGGGCTGCGGGAGTCACTGGCCTGGGCTGGCTCCGGCCCTGCCCGCGGCCCAGCCCGCCCGCGCTGGCGGAGAGGCCGTGGATGGATGTCTGTGGGCACAGCGGTGGCACAGGGCCGGCTCTACCCGGGGGGCTCAGGCGTGAGGGTGTCTCCGTGCCCTGGATCCAGGCCTCGGCTGTCCCGCTGTCCGTGCCCGCCTGGTGCCGTCACCGCCCGTGGTCCCGGGGGTCACTGAGGCCGCTCCCCACCATGGAAACGTAGCCTCAGCAAGTTGTTGGTCGCTGGCGAGTGCGACGGCTGCTGCTGGTAAAGACGGCGGAGTTCGGTGGGGACACGGAACAGAACTGGTTCTGGTTGAATGAAGGATCGCCAAATTCCCGCATGACAACCCTCTTTAACTGCTTAAAATGGCAGTGGCTCTCACCTAGCAGCTGTTGGGCTGACACAGCCTACTGGGAGGCTGTTTTCCACAGGAAATTGTTCTGAAGGCTTGGAGAGTTGTCAGTGCCACTTGTGTGCAGTTGGGATGAGCCCATGTCTCACCTTGTCTTGGGCCAGCTTTTGAGATTGACCAGGTTTAACTTGTTTAAAGAGTTTTACTTATTCTTCTCAGAAAACAAGTGATCAGGTGCTCTTTTCCCCTGCAATATCCATTTGTTTACCATTTTTTTCTAGCTTTTGGTTCTGTCAGGGCTTTTCCTGGCAGGCTGAAGAATTTGCAGAGCAGCAGTTTGGGTCCCCTGGCTCTCAGATACAAAGACATTTCATTCAGAGATTCAAGTCCTGTGTGTGTCCATGACTAGCTGGCTGTGATATCCTTGGGGCTGTGTGATGGAGGGGACCAGGACCCCTGTTTGGTTTGAAGGGGGTGCAGGATCATCTCAAATAAAGTCCTGTCATCATTGCACCTTGTCTTGTTGCAAGTTGGCCTTTAGCAGTAATGGTGGTGTGGAGGCAGTGGAAGGGGAAACCTGCCTAGAAAAATCCAACAGCTGTGTTGGCTCTCTTAGAAAATGTAACCTGCTTTTTTCAGGGAGTTGGGAGCTAGATTTTGGCAACTGGGAAAGGCAAGTTTCACAGCTTGGCTGCAGCAGGATCTGCATGTGACAGCATTTTAGATGAGGAGTGGATTAATTATAACCACCGTGTGCAATGGACATTAAGCTTCTTTCACATTGTAATCCTGCTGTTCCTGTGCTGTTGAACTGGAAGTTAATGGTGTGTTGGGTTTTGGGCTTGTCAAGGTAACCCCATCACACACCTGAGGTTGGGTTTGTGTGTTACCATGCCTCCCTGGAAGGGCATCTGTGGACCATAATGCTACCAAAGAGTGTTCCATGTGTGATGCCTCCCTTGTAGAACTGAACACCCAGTGCTTTCCAGCAGCTGGTTAAATAAAAATACTTGTATTTCCTACAAAGGCTCTGGATGCAATTAGAGGCTTGTTAATTAATTCTCTGTGGCATTTTCTTGTGCTCTTTCTGAAAGCTGGGGTTAAGCCAGGGCTTTCTCTTCACATTCCTTGGGTTTATCTAACAACGATCCTCTTGGCTCTGGGGAGGGAGAAGAGCTGTTCAAGCTCTAGGCAGAAGAAGAGGTGGTGAACACCTCTGAGGTGGAGGTTCAAAGCCCAGAACAGTGACGGCTGTTAAGATGGTAGCTCCCCTCCCTCCTTCAGGTGGAGCATGTTCAGAGGGATGGTGTCCTTTGTGGTCCTGCCATCTTCAGAGTGATTGTCTTGGAGATGGGAAGGTTGGTACCAAATCTGACAGTGAGGATGACTGGAAGTGAGTGGGTATGGATTTGATGTCAGGAAGCAAGCTGGAAGTAGTACAAAATGTTCTTGGGCCAAATGATTGCTAATTATTTCTATCTGGACATTGCTGCTGTGAGCCCTGACTGGAAGAAGCTGGTTTTTTGTGAGCTGTGTTGGGTGTGTGAGTGTGCTGGAGAGTGAGCCTGACACGCACTCCTGGCTCCGAGATTACCCCTGAAAGACTGGAACGAGTGGTGAGGGAGCGTTACCTGAGGTCACCCATGCTGTGTGCAGCACCAAGGGCTGTCCTCCTTTTCCATTCTACCCCTCCTTGTCTCTGGTTTCAACAGATACTGACTTACTACAAATGCCTGCTCAGCTGCTATCCATGGTTGGCATCAGTTTGAAGGATGAGGGTTTGTGTTTGATAAAGGAGCAAATACCCCCTCGCAAGGACACATTGTGCAAGGAAATAAACCCTAAATACAGGTATTCTGGCTGTGATTTCAGCTGCATGTCAACCTGCCTGGGGAAAGGGACACTGTGACTGTGCCTTGTTGAGTCACAGCTGGTTGCAAAGGCAGAGGTGAATATTCACTTCTCCTTTATTGGCTTTTGATGTGGTTGTTGCTGGGTCAGTCACGTGCTCTGGGGAGAATGGAACAGATTGCTGTGGAATCCACCTTGGTCTGCATGAGCCAGTCTGCAGTGAAGCAGGTTGGTTAACAGCTTTGTTGGAAATTGTATGCAGTTTTGTAGTCAAAAATCCTCTGAAAATGCCCTGTTTATACCTACAAGGCTCTGGATGGGTATAATTTACATTTTTCCTCCTGCATCTGGGTGACTGAGGCTGCTATAAGGTGATACTGAATTCCCTTCTCTCACCCCTCTTTGCTGGTACCTTTTAACCAAAATTTCTTGCTTTATGGAGCCCATGCTGGCATTGTGCCTGCCTGATTGGTTGGGAGGAAGGCCCTGTTTGTACAGAAGAGTGCCTCTGTGAAACAGGCTAAAAATGGGTTATTTTTTTCCTCATTTAGCAGGGAACAATCATGATCTCTGTGGTGCTTCAGTGCTTGGAGCCATGAAAGGACCTCCCATGCTCCTATTGCTTTAGAACCAGTGAGCAGTGGCCCAGTGCTTCCCACAGCTCTGCTCCCATTCCATGAGCTCCTCTGCAGCACGGAGCACGTGCCCTTGGGATGGCCCTTCTCCTCTGGAGTAGGCTCCTGGAAGAGAATTCCCTGGAGATTTCTGTGAGGAAAAAAAGGAAGTGGGTTGCTTTTCTCTGAAGCTGAAGCTTTGTTGTTTGGGAATGAAGCTTTAATCAAAGAAAGAGCAGTTTGAAATAGGAAAAGAGTATCCAGAGGCATACCCAGTCCATCTCTGTGTTCCTGTGTACCATGACAGTGTCACTGTCCTTGTGTTTCACACACTGCTGCTGGTTCAGGCTGTGCCTGGGACTGTGCTGTCAGTCTGGCTGAATAACTAAAGAGAACTCAATTTCTATCACTTCACTGTTAATTGTATTAATGGCAAGAAGCCTAAATGGACACCTAATTGCTTTCTGTTAATGAACGTACGACACAGCCCGTGTTTTGATGGGATTACAGTTGTGCTCCTGCCTCTTTTAGGTTGTGTCCCTTCCCAGTGTGTCTCTTGTGCATCACATCCGTGTGTTGCATGGATATGTGATTAGGATGTTGGTTTAGGGAGAGGTAATTATGACTGGTGCAGTCTGGTGCTTAATGCCGGTGCAATTATGATAATAAATGCCCATCGCTATGTTATACTAAATATAAAGTATTTTGGTGTCATTTGATGTCTTGGAGGAACCTTGGGTTCCTGTTTGGTTTTGCATGGGACAAACAAACGAGTCAGATTGGCTGTTCTGGGTGTCCCAGTGGTCCCAGTTTTTCCAGCCACTGTAAAGTTTTCCACCACAATTTCTCTTAAAACCACTGCTTGGGCTTCATCTACCTCAGCAGTGTCACTTTGTCATGTTCTCTTTTATCTCATGCTTCTCTGTGCTTTGTACTGAGTTACTCTGGGGAAGTAAAGCCACAGTTTTTCTTTGCTCTGTAATTTTTATCCTATTCCATCCTTTTTTATTTATGTGTGATTCTTTCCTGGTCAGCATGTCACTGCATTTTCCTGGAGGGTTTCTGTTTGTAGCAGTTCCGTGAAGGATTAATCCAAGGATTTTTTTCTTTTCCTTTTTCCTGCCAAAGAGGATGGCACTTTTCTTCCTCCATGTGCCCATAGCTGCAGAGCTCTGTATAAAGCTGGCCTTGGATCACCTGCTTAAGGTGGTTTTATAGTCTGGGAGGACATATGAGAACAGAGCTCCAGAGGCATGATAGCCTGGCTAAAGTTGTAAAGCCATCTTTGTAATGGATTTGGAAATGGAACCTAGTGTTCTAATGCATAGAAAATATACGCACGCCTGTTAGAGACACTAAAAATCCTAAATGTCACAGTGACTGCAAAAAAGGATGCCTCATATTTTCCATCTGGAAGTTTCCTTTTCGTTTTAGTCCCTGGTGTGATATTTAAGAAATGCTTTCTTAAAATGTTCTGCCTCTGACTTGGGCAAACTCCGAGCTGGTTGCGATAGTGGTTGAGAGGATTAAATGCATGACTTTGGTCTTACCTTGAGAGCTCTGAACTTTGGGTGTCATTTGTAGCAAGTGATTTCTGAAAGCTTGCAACAGAATATCTTTTTTTAGCTGCTGAAAACTGTGTTATAAATTTGTGGAGACAGTTTGGTGCCATTCTAGTTTGTTTGTCTGTTGAGACCTCGTGTGTGTGGCAGCTTTTGTGTGTGCAGCAGCAGTTCCAGAGCCTCGGGGTTGTTCTGCTCACCACTGTGTTCCCCTCTGAGCACCTCCGAGTGATTTTCCCTGTGCTCCTAGTGCCTGGCACTTTGTTACTTGTTTGCTTGTGAAGGAAATGCCTTGGGGGAAAAAACCTCGCTCCTTCACATTGCAGGAGGTGATTTAGCAGGAAGATGAAGAAAGTTCAGTCTGAATGTGGAACTGAAGCTGTGATTCCATCTACTGTGTGTATTTGTGAGAAATCTCAACTATGTGGTAGAGATGCCGAAAGCAGTTCTTAGTCAAGCAGTGACAGTGTGGCAGGTGCCTTGCACGTTTTGTGTCTGGGTGTTGTTCCAGTTGAGCAAGAGAGACCTTTTCCTCTCTGGAAATGCTCTCAAACCATGTCCTGGGCTGATCCTGCAGCATGGGCAGCAGGGGAGGCCCTATCAGGGGATATCTGCCCCTGTCAGGGGATATCTGCCTCTATCAGGTGAGACCCCCACCTGCAGAGCTGCCTCCAGACCTGGGGCCCAGCACAGGAAGGACCTGGAGCTGCTGGAGAGAGTCCAGAGGAGGCACCAGGATTTTCAGAGGGATGGAGCAGCTTTACTGGGAGGAAAGGCTGGGAGAGCTGGGATTGTTCAGCCTGGAAAAGAGAAGCTTCAGGCTGACCTCATTGTGGCCTTCCAGTATCTGGAGAGAGCTTAGAGGAAGGATGAGGCAAGATTATTTACAAGGGCCTGGAGTAACAGGACAAGGGGGAATGGCTTCAAACCGAGAGTAGGGTTAGACTGGATTTTAGGAAGAAATTCTTCCTTGCAGGGCTGAAGAGGCCCTGGCACAAGTTGCCCAGAGAAGCTGTGGCTGACTCTGGATCTCTGGAAGTGTCTAAGGCCAGGCTGGAGACAGAGCTTGGAGCATCCTGGTGTTGTGGAAGGTGTCCATGGCAGGGAGTTGGAACTATGTGATCTTTAAGGTCCCTTGCAGCCCAGGAAATTCTATGATTCTGTAATTCTTTCACTGGATAAGAGGGAGTTCTCTGACTCTGATCCCAGATAACCAGCTGCTGTGGTACTGAGACATCCTGCACATACATTATCTTCACCGTTGATCAAATAAAATGTTCCAAAACATAATCCTACTTGACCCACATAAAATGTGAAATCTATTCCTCCAGTGTTCATCATGGTTCTCTGAACCTCAGTGCAAACACAAACCACTGTGGTGTATCTCTGGTGGAGAGGCAGTGTCAGGCTGGCTGAGCTTGGAGATTATATATGGATTAGTTTTTTAATTTGTTGCTCCTGGGAGGAGTGGGAAAAGGTTCCCTGTCATTTGGGACACCTACATTTGTGTCCAGGAAATGACTGGATGTGGCACTCAGTGCTTTGATTGACAAGGTGATGATAGGTCATAGATTGGACTTGATGATCTTGGAGGGCTTTTCCAACCTAAATGATTCTGTGATTTTGTTATTCTGATTCTGTAGGGCAGATTCTGAGTAGATGCTGGACCTGTGCTGAAGGTGATTGTTGTATCTGGAAAGAAGGATGTGTTTCAGTACTATAAACATCTGGGTGCTTGTAAGCTGAGCTCAGCAATAGCTGAGCCCTACCATCATCATTAAGGCGCTGCCATCTGTGCAGAGTGAAAAGAGCCTTTCTTGAAGCATAAAGGAAAAAAGCCTTAATGGAAAAAACAGGGCCATTCATGAAACCCCTTCAATTTCAGAGTAAATCCTGCTTGCTCCTAGCTAGAGGGACTGCAGATCCCTCCAGAATGCCTCCATAGCCATTCAGATGATAAGTTAGTGCTTCTGGAATGACTCATTTTTACACAAATTTATGCTGTCTGTGCACTGCACCCAGGGAAGCAAATGTAGATTCGGCTTAGTCCTCTCATCCCCCCACTATGAAACTTGAAGGGAAGTGGCTTGGATGGAGCCTTTTATTTCAGTTCTCTCCTGATACTTATTTCTCTGAAACTGTAACTCTATGAAGTTCACATTTGAGAGTGTTTTCCTGAAGTCTTTCTAGGAGGGAGCTATGTTTGTGGTGGTCTCACACACCTGTATTAATTCTGCTCATTTTACAGTCAGTTCCATGCTCCAGAATCCCAGTGACCTTGCACATGCTTTGTGTCCTGAAATTTGCACTGTAATGCATCACCTTAAAGAGGAATGAAACAAATTTGTGGTGAAACTTTCAGAGCTGATGTTCACTTTAGTCAGTCCTTATTTCCTCTCCCAGACATCCACATTTCTGCATTTAGAACTGTCAGTGTTATTAATTAAATCAGCATCAGGGTTCAGTGCAGTCTTCAGCACTCCCAGTTAAAGGTTTGGAGTGGTTCTTGCTTGGGATGTGGGAGTGAAAGAGGAGACGAAAGGCAAACTTTGCCTAACAGGAGACCTTCTGGCTGTGCTGAACTTTGCAGTGGGAGGAAGCCTCATCCTTCTCTGAGGAGGCCCATGGTGTTTATGGGACTGGGCTTCACATTGGGAAGTGGAGAAAACAGGAAGAATTGACCAGAATGGAGCAATATTGGAAAGAGCTGACTTTTCCTGTTCCCTTCTCTGGAAAAAGTTGAAATGGAATTATCTCCACTGTAATATTTATCCTAGATTTTTGTTTTGTTTGTTTGTTTTTTTCCTCTCTTCTCCTACTGATGGCAGTGGCCCTCAGTACTACAGGAAAGGGGTGAATAAGCAAGTATTTTCTGTGTGTTGTCGCTCTTTTATACTTGTGAATTTAAAACTGCACAGACGTCTCCAGGAAGCACTCATTTAGAGTTGTTTTTTTTTTTCATTCTCTTGTGTTTTTTGTTTCTAGGAAACTACTTTGCAAGTCACTTCTTTATGGGAGGCGAAAAGTTTGACACCCCTCACCCTGAGGGTTACCTTTTTGGTGAGAACATGGACTTAAACTTCCTTGGGAATAGACCAGTTCAGGCAAGTTCCTGTGTTCTGTCTGTTTTACTCTTCTCTGTTTCCTGCCTGTTTTAGAAAATCTTTTGTAGGCTTTGTAGAGGAGAGTAGCACAGACCTAAGCGGTCCTCACTGCTTGGGGAATGTCATTCCAGTCTGTTCAGATGCAAACTGAATTTTACTGAGAAGCTGAATTCACCTTGGAGGCTCATTTTCACTCAGGACAGAAGGAATTAATGGTGGGGGAAGAAGAACAGGGACTCAGGAGCACAGAATTTGGGGCTAATTCTGCCTGCCCGAGCAAGTGTAAAACATGCTGCATAGAAGGCTAGGAAGCAGAGCCTGAACTTCCCAAGGGCATGTTGGGTGGCTTCCAGCCAGTGTTCAGCACGTGCTGTTTTCTGTGTATGAGTGGCCTCACTGGGTGTAGGGCAGTGTTAAGACAGACCTTGACGTTTTGTGGGTTTTATACCTCGGTGGGCTGCTCAGAAAGTCCCTCCTTCTCTTTTCCTAGCTGGAACATAAATGTAATTTTGGGCCCACAAGTGTCTGTGAGACTGTGAAAAGCTACTTGCTCAAGTGATTGGCTTGTTCTTGAAAGGAGAATAATGCTGTTGTGAGGGAAGGACAGGAATTTTATGCAAGTGTTATGTTTTGGATTTCTCTTGCATTTCAGAGCTGCTTAAAAAGAACCAAAAGTAGGAGTCATTTGGAGATGTTTTCTGAGTGCTGGAGAGGAAAGGGAAGAGCTGCTTGCTTTGTTCGCTGTTTTCCTAGTTGTTTCTGCAGCTTCCAGACATGAAAATGAGACCTAGAAGTCATGGTTCTCCTCATCAGAAAAGCTGTGACCATTAATAAATTCATGTTTGTAATGATTGGTGGCTGTTTGGGATCCTCCTGGTCTTGCAGGTGAGGGAAGCTGAGGCAAGTTGGAATTGGAGCAGTTACAGGCACATTCTGTTTTCTGAGTTTCTCCTTAGGCTGTGCCATTGGTCACTCTAGAACCACACTCAGTTCACAGGACAGACAAGGAGGAATCTGGAAAGTCTTTGTTTAAGCAGGAAGTGCAGTTTGGCAACAGAATTAGGAAGGAGGGACTTGAGCTGGAAATCTGTGGTTGTATCAGTGGTGGGCAGGCCTGGGGGTGCTCACCACATCCCCTGTGCCACGTCTGCACACAGGGCCCTCCCTGTAGGGGCTGACCTGGCAGAGTTAAATTACCTGCATGTCTCAGCCTGGATTTCCTTGCTGACATCCCAGCACTGGGTTTCATCATTTCTCTGGAGAGGAGTGGGTGAGAGGCCATTAACACCGTGGGACATTTGCCAAGTAGGTTTAAGAGAAGGAGGCTGTTGTGGAATATAGTATGCCTATGTAAAGTTAAAACGCTTTGGCAGCTCTGATTAATCTTCAAGGAAAAAAAGAACCACTCAAACACAGAGCAGCAGAACTGTTTGCTGGACATGGGCCCAGTTCTTGCTTTGGAGTAACTGAGATCTTGCTTTATTTCTAAGGAAACGTGTGTTGGTGGTCCCTGGTGCCCAGCAGGCAGGTCTGCAGCTGTACAGCTTGTGATCACCACAATAAGCACTTTCCTTTGCATTTCTCACTGGAGATCCTGTGCCCACTAAGGAGAATTACAGTCTGAAGCATTATTGTCCCTATTTAAAGGACAATCTGTGAGAGAAGGTTTCTTGACTAGAATAGAATGAGGCCCCCTATCCCTGTCTCTTTTCTTTTCCAGAACATTTGCCCTATTGTTTCAGAATGAAAAGAGTTTCCCCCAGTAATCCAGGGTTTCAGCATGCCGATTAGCAGTCAGATCACTGCTTGCATGCTGTAATGCACATGAAAGAACTGCATTTCTTCTGCTCAAGCTGGAGGTGGTTTCTTCAGTGGAAATAAAAACTTGGGAGAGCAGCGTTTTCCTAACTGAGAATTCAGGGTGGAGGGAAAGACTTTGTAAAAATGCCCTTTTTTAAAGTGTGTATTTCCAGTATGAGCTGTTCTTGGGCCAGGGCAGGATTTTCACCCTGAAAGGTGCTTGATTTATCTGTAAATAAAACCTGCTATTGCTGTTCCTCGTGGCTGCTGTACTAAGTACTCTGAAAGCTACATGCTTCTTCATTTGGGTAAATTGCATGCTAGGTAACATGCTGCTACCTTTCATAGTGTAATAACAGAAGGATTATTTGCCTCTTTGTTCCAGTTTCCCTATATAACTCCAGCTCCACATGAGCCAGTGAAGACACTGAGGAGTTTGGTGAACATCCGCAAAGACTCTCTCCGACTTGTGAGGTACTGCCATTACCTGAACCTTTCATTTTACTCAACCCAGTCATCTGTCAGCCAGAGCCAAACTGCTTTGGTAAGGTTTTGGAGAATGGCTGATATCCAGATCCTTGTTGCTAGATATGTCTGGAGGTTTCTGTTTCCCTTTTGAGCTTTCAAGTGGTTTATATGCTCCTTATCCAAACAATCTGTGTTTCCAAACAGCACCAGTGATGTGTCTGTTTCTGCAAGAGTGGTAAACAAAGCCATGAAATCATTAGCACGAGCGGAAGATATTAGTCAGGTCAATAAACTTTACGGACAGATTCCTTCCTGCATTCCTGTGCAAGGAGAAGCCAGAAGGGAGCTGATTCTGGTGCGAGTCACGAGCCAGGAAGACTGATAGGTCTTGAGTGAAACTTTCTCAGGTTTCTCCTGCTGCCAAGATAAAGTTTGGTCCTAGTGTTATGCATTTGTTTAGATGGCTTGTGTCCCATGTGTGGGGGAAGGACAATCATGGAGATGTTACCTTTCACTGCTCCAAGCTGAGATCTGAACCAGCAGAGCTGGATTAAAGCTCTGGCTCACACTCAGACCTGCAGCTGTCCCCTTTCCAACAGATGGCTGAGGTACAGGGCCCAGCATTCAGTGCTTTGTTTGGGTCAGAGCACTGGGCAAATGTCCAGGCAGAGCATTTCCCAACGATCCTGGCTGGAGTCGCTCCGCATTGTGCGTCTCGGGGCTGGAGCACTGGCAGGGGTCCAGCTGCAGCTCCCAGCCAAGGTGGCTCTGAGAGTGTGGTGTAACGTGAGCACTTTGAGTCATAACCAAAACCCCTCAGTTTGTTTTTATGTGAAAACGTGGGGGTTTTTTTGGTTTTGTTTTGTTTTGTTTTTTAAATGAGCAAAACCTGTAGTTTCAAAGCTGATTGAACTTCCAAATAAGTGACCATTGGTAAACTGCTCTGAAAGCTCTTTGGTTTTTCAGCATAAGGGTGAAGTACTTCTCCAGGAAAAAAGAGAAGGAGTATAAGCCAAGTGGGAAGTGGCTTTTTTCCCTGGGAGAGGCCTGGCTGTGGATGGAGCAGTTGGTGGGGTTCAGTACATGTAGTTGTGTCATTCTGCTTTCTGTGGTCGCACGTCCCATTTCTCCAAGCAGAACTGCAGCTCTGGACTATTTGGAATGTGGTGTCCATGCACCTTGACAGTATCTAGGTTTTCATCCATCTAATTCCTGGTACTAGCAGTTCCTTTTCTGCCTCATGAGTTCTCACAGCCTCTTGTGCTGCTGCTGTGTCAGGGCTGACGACAACACTGCCAACATGACTCTATTGAATTTTGCACTGATGTAGACTCAAAATGAGTTTTTAATTGGCAGTCCCCAAGGGTACATTCTGTCTTGTGCTTTTCTACTCTTCTGGCCCAAAGGCTTTGTCTTCCTCCCTCTGTGCAAGTAAAGGACACTTTGTGCCCTCTCCAGCCTGGCTTATTCATAATCAGTGGTCGAGGTTTGCTCATTCTTTCCAGAACTGGTCAATTTACCACATCCTCCACCAGATATAGTGATACTGAGCCAAGTGTCCAGGTGTGTAAGTGTATGTTCTGATGGTAAACCCCCACATTTGGTTTTTTTTTCATAGAATCTCAGGCTGGTTTGGGTTGGAAGGGACCTTAAAGCTTATCTCCTTCCACCCCCTGCCATGGGCAAGGACACTTTGCACTATCCCAGGTTCCTCCAAGCCCTGTCCAACCTGGCCTTGGGCACTTCCAGGGATCCTGAGGCTTCTCTGGGCACCCTGTGCCAGGGCCTCCCCACCCTCCCAGGGAAGCATTTCCTCCTAATGCCTAATCTAACCCTGCCCTCTGGCAGTGTGAAGCCACTGCCCCTCGTCCTGTTACTCCAGGCCCCTGTCCAAAGGCCCTCTCCAGCTCTCCTGGACTTTAGGCACTGGAAGGGCTCTAAGTTCTCACTGGAACCTTCTCTTCTCCAGGCTGAACACCACCAACTCTCAACTTGTCCCTGTAGAAGTGCTATGGAGGAATAAAAATGTCCACTCTGACCTTCCTACTCAGCTCTGACCAAAATTCTGAGCTTTGCCAGATCCTGAATTTTTACAGGATAAACAATAAACCTGTGGATTTTGGTGTTAAAGTTCTGAGTCTTCAATGTGAATTGTGTTTGATTTCTGGCAGGAGGATACTGTGAACCTCAGAGCAGGGTAGCAGGAATTTTGCTTTTAACCACTAACAGAGAAAGAATTCCTTCTATTTGTCTTGTGTCCCACATTTGGTCTTGGACTGGAAGCTTCATTTTGGAGCTCCAGTACCTGGTGTGCTGGTACTGGCTGTTCCCTCTTCTCCTGAAATGAAAGCACTTCCAGCTGCAGGAGGAAGACCAGCTCAGGAGACAATGTCTGTTCTTGCACCCTGGGACAGCTTCTCTGCTTCAACTTCTGGGCTTTGGATAGCATCATGGAACAAAAGCATTGAAGGAATCAGCAACTGTGGTGGTTTGGGAATGTGTCTGAAGCATCAGGAGTATCATGGATAATAGTCATACCCCTGAGTGTGTTGGATAAGGGCCTGAGAGAGGTGGATGGTGGGGGCTGAGGTGAGACAGGTGAGTTGCAGGGAGTGAGATAAATTAAATCCCTTCTCTTCCCTCTCCAGCACAAAGGGGCTGACCTTGGTCCTTGGATCTATTCATCCTGTGGTGGAGGTGGTGAGGGGCTGGGACTGCCTGCTCTGCAGCCCTGGATGGTGTTAAACTGGACAGATTCTTTGCAGAAACCCCAAACAGGAGAACCCCTGTGTTTGGTGATGCTCTCCCCTGTGCAAATCAGTGCTGGCTGACTGAGAGGTGTCACTAATTCTGCTCTCATGTATTGCCTGCTCAAACACTGGGTAAATGCAGATCTCACAGCACTCAGTCAAGGGATATTTAACATTTATCCTGCATGTCTACTGTGTTGGTCAGACTTTTGAATCTCCTCAAAGGATGAAATTGTGTTCGGCTCAACCTTGTTCTATAAAACTGTCATGGCTGCTGTTAATTATATTTTTATCTTTTAATTCTTCAACAGACAATAAAAAGCTCCAGCATTTCCATTGTTTTATCCAGGAGTGATGTCAGACCAGGTGGCCTCAGCTCCCTTGGTCATCCTGCTTTGCCTTTTGCATCAAAACGTTGGATCAGCTATTTGTTCTCAAAGGTGGTCAGTCTCTTTCCTCTGTACCTGTGATTGTGAAGGCTCTGTGATGCACCTCTGTGCATGACCCAAAGGCACACCCAGCAAAGTCACTGGTTCCCAAATCTGTGCATGCATCTGTGGCCACCCCACATGGACACTGTCTGTAGGGCTTGGCTAAATGGGCACCATAAAATTCCAGTGGAGACGGATGAGCTCTTGAAGCACCTGAACCACTCCTGAACCACCTCCTTGTCTGCCACATCCCCTTCAAAGAAAGAGGAATGCAAAATGTGTGATTTTTGTCTTGTTACACCCCTGATATTGCATCCCACCATTCCTTCACCTTAAGGTGGGACATGAGATGCTCTCAAAGTATGCACCAAAGTAGTCTTTGCTTGTTCCTTGGGCCAGCGACCATCTGTGCAATCTTTTCTCATCTGAACTCTTTGCTCTGTGGCAGGTCACAGAATCCCAGACTGGTTTGGGTTGGAAAGGACCTTAAAGTTCATCTTCCACCCCCTACCATGGGCAGGGACACCTTGCACTGTCCCAGGCTGCTCCAAGCCCTGTCCAGCCTGGCCTTGGACACTTCCAGGGATCCAGGGGCAGCCGCAGCTTCTCTGGGCACCCTATGCCAGGACCTCCCCACCCTCCCAGGGAAGAATTTCTTCCTAATGTCTAGTCTAACCCTGCCTTCTGTCAGTGTGAAACCATTCCCCCTTGTCTTGTCACTCCAGGCTCTTGTAAATAGTCTCTCTGCATCTTTTTGTATCATTCAGGTACTGGAAGGTTGTGAATGATTTTCTGTGCCTCCAGCAGCAGGGATGTTAGAGCAGAAGGGCAAAGTCTTGCTGTGTCTGTCACCATTTAGGCACTTGTACCTTGCTGCCCTCTGCTCCAGTGGTGCTGTGCCAGGCAGACAAAGCTCAGCCTCTCCTACTTCCCAGTAGATGCATCCTTCAGAAACCTTCCCTCCAGGCACTGCAGTGGCCCCTCAGTGGTTTCCCAGGGCAACAGATCTAGTCTAGCCTAGCTTTAACCCCTTATCTCCTTGGGAGGATGGAAGCACATTCTGAGTGCTGACAGAGAGGTGCAGGGTGAAGCTGGGAGCAGGAGGGTGATCTGGGGTGCTTTTTGTGACTTCCCTGAGAAGCCAAAGCAGGCAGTGTTTGTGCCAATGATGTTTGTATGTGAGCTGCCCAGGTGTCCCCATTGTTACTTGGTATTGTCACAGGTATCTCAATCTGTGCTGTAGCTCTCACGTGTGCTGGGTATCTCTATTTAATACCTACCTGTGCATGGGGTGAGTCTGAAGAGCTCTGCCTGCGAGAGTTGCTGGTTCTCCCTCTCTGCTGCTTCTGGAAGAAGTGGCAAGTCTATCATAGCCTGGATCCTTCGTTTCCAACCTCGGATCCATGGAGTGCAGCACAGCAAGAGGTGACTTGTGCTGCTGCTCCCTTGGACACACACAGCACTTGTGAATGGGTTGTTGCCATCTGTGTTCTTGGATCAGTCCAGCACAAAATGTTGATGGTTCCAGTGTTCTTTAGGCAAATCTCCCCTTCTGCCCAGTGTTTCTTCTTTACAGCCTTCAATGATTTTCACTTTGAATGCAACTAGCTTGTGTGAAAATACCATCTTGTATTGCTCTGTACTGTATATTGTGTCCAGGTTTCTGCAGATGTTAAGACTCCAGTTCTTGGGATTTGTTTTTTTTTTTTTTTTATACAGTAATGTTGGGTGTTTTTAACTTGATTTGCTACTCTGACTTAGGTGAATCTCTGGCATAAGCCTCTCCAAGCCCTTCAGACAGGAATGAGGGTGTGTGCTGTAGTGGCTCACTGGGGTTACATTAGTACAAGTACTTGTGTTTGGTATTTGATTATACTGCTCTTAAATTTTATTTTGCACCTTCTGTATTAAATTACTGAAACTGAACATTTCATTCTTGTTCAGTGTGGTGTTCAATCAAATTCGTGCTGGAACCCTCTTAATGAGGCAGCAGTTGTTATATGTCAGTGAACGTGGTAAATAAGGATTCCCTTGAGAATTTTTAGATTGAATTATAGAGGTATGTCTGACCCATTTCTGTGTATTTTTTACAGTACAGTGTATTCATCAAGGCTGTTTAGTGAGGGGAGAGGCTGATACTGTGAAGACAGAGACGATGCCAAGCTTTACCTGAATAGTTCAGCTGTTTGGTTGTGACCCAGCCATCATGGCAATTTAGGTATTACTGATGAACAAGTGAGGCTGGAGCTGGGTGACAGGTCAGTGCTGTTACACCTCTCAAAAGCAGCCTTGCTACCCTCACCATTCTGACACAGTGCCTGAGCTCACAGTGTTCATGGGATTTGAATTTATGGAGGATTTGCTGCTGCCCTGCCAGTGAATCACATCCCTTTGTCACTTTGCTCTTTGAGGCAGGGAGAGCTTGGTCAGTTCAGGAGAAAAGGAGACTGAGGGCAGGGCTCAGCAGGGGCTGCAGCTCCTCCCGAGGGGCAGCTCCGGTCTCTGGGACAGGAGCAGGGAATGGCTGGAGCTGGGCCAGGGCAGGCTCAGGCTGGAGATCAGGGAAAGGTTCTTACCCCAGAGGTGCTGGCACTGCCCAGGGAATGGGCACAGCCCCGAGGCTGCCAGAGCTCCAGGAGTGTTTGGACACTGCTCAGGCACAGGGTGGGGTTGTTTGGTGTCTGTGCAGGGCCAAGAGCTGGACTGGAGCTCCTTAGGGGTGCCTTCCCACACAGGATATTCTGTCATTCTGTAATTTTCTTGTGTGTTGTGTCAGCTGCTTGTTCCAAGATCAGCTGATTTCTGTGGCCACTCCTGGCATGCCGTACGTCCCCATGGCCATAGCTCACTGCCCCAGAGCTGGCTTCATACCCCTTTCTCACTGGATTTGTGCTTTTTCCTGCAGTAGGGAAAGGACTAACCCTGGCAGTGGTGATCACACAGTGGGATCCAGGTGTGAAGGAGCCCGTAGCTAAATTAGGGTTCACTTTTACATTAATTGAAATAACTTCTAAGCTCACACTGTTGGTTATCATGTGTCTGTTTGCAGTTAGTTGTGTTAATTTTTGTTCATACAATAAATGCGTGTGAGCTCCAGTCCCTCACAGCACCAGAGGTTTAGTTGATCATTTGTACATTTAAAGGTGTTTGATATTCCTATATCTGGATGCTTTCTGAGCTAAATATCATCTTCTGTGTGATTCTGGAGGTACCTTTTGTTGAGCTTCAGGAGTTCTTTGTGTTAAGAAACTTCTGTTTTTTTGTCTGTCACGCACCATTTCATTGTAGAATTAAAAGAATTACACTTTAGATTTCTCAAGCCCATGCAGGATTTCTTTAGCCCAAATACTGAGCCTAATGTAAAGATTTAAAAGGAAGGAGAATGTTTCTTCTCCTCAGCATTTGATATTCAGGATCTCCCTTTCTTGTCTTATTGTCCTGGCACTGTAAGGCTGGGTGAGATCCCTCAACACCATCATTAGTTCACTTTAATAACTTCAGTCAGACCTTCCTTAGGGGAAAGAATGGAAACCTGGGAAGCCCAAGGTGGAAGCCCAGGCTGCTTTGCCTGCCCAGAACACCAAGGCTGGAGTACTTTTATCTTTATTTCCAGAGTGATCTTGTTGGTATTTCATAAAGATATGTTCTAATCCTCTGGCATTATCTTTCAGGTATAAAGATGATGTTGACAGCCCTACTGAGGAGAATGGGAAGCAGAAGGTCCTGTACAGCCTGGAATTCACCTTTGATGCAGATGCCCGTGTTGCCATCACAATCTACTGCCAGGCTACAGAGGAGTTTGTTGGTGGCATGGCCGTGTAAGTCCTGGGCTTGTGGGCACGTGGAGGGGCACAGGAGCTGGGATGGTGAGCTTCAAACATCTCTCACTAGTCACCCCTGTGGCAGTGCTGCCACACATGGTAGAGTGGGAATTTTTTTTTTCTGATAACTTTGAATATTACTTTCAGTTCCCTCACATAGCCAATATCTTCTCTTGTTCCCTTTTTGGTTTGGTTTCATGGTGTAGGGAAACCATTTTGTGTGCAACAAAGGAGGGGAACTCACAGCTGTGTTTTGTGAATGAGGTGTTCCGTGAAATTAAAAAACCAGCCACCCTTCCCTTTAAATACTACTTACTTTTTTCCCAGATCACCCAGTTCACTGCCTTTCTGTGTTCCCTGTGACAGGAGCATCTGGGCCATCAAAGTAAAGTTCAGTCTGACATTAACATAGCAAGCCTTGAGGCCCACACAAAGCCCATTTTGGGATAAATGCCCAGCTCAACACTGGATGTTGGGAGATGGGAGAGGATTTGCTTCCTGAAACCCTGTCTGTGTGTGTTTCCTGCCATGTACACATCAGTCTTTGGTTAGCTGTGGAAAGAATGACCCAAATGTCATCTGTGGGAACCTTCTTATATCCTGACAGTACATCCCCTCCAGATTTTAAAACCTTTTTATCTAAATCAGCACATTTAAACCATTCCAGTCAACACTGTATCCCACAAGACCACAAAAAATTTCCTCTCTATGTTCAGAGCAAAGGTGGCTGGAATGTGCTCTGCCTGGTGTGAGTTGGGTGCACGTGAGCTGCTGGTATGGTGTGGTGCACTTCCAATGGCCATGGGACAAAGAATTCCTTTGGCTCCAGGGGTAAATGAAGATTCAGGCTACAGAAGCTCTTGGCTTCCTCTAGTAGAGGCTTTTGGCTGACCAGAGGCCCCTGGACATAGTGCTGATGGCTTCTGCAATGATGCTCTGGAGCTGGGACTAAACTTTGCCTTGGTTGAAGGGACCTGCAGAGGCTGCAGCAGGGAGAAGTATCTAGGACAAATCATAACAGGATTTACTTGTTTTATGCAAAGTATAAACATCCCACTAATGATCAATGAATAGTGTATTTTTAGAAATGAGAGTGGCTTAACTCTCCAATCCAGATATGCATTCCTTCAAACTGGAGGATATCCTGATCCAGAATTTTTTGTTTAGGCACCTTTCCTTTCTTCTTTTGAAGCCTATGGCTGCCTTTATTTTTGGGAAGTAATAAATGAGCTCCTTTTTAAAGTGCTTGAAAATGTTCTCTCAACGAACTCTGAATACACTTTCTCTTTAGATCCAGCTTTTCCTGAGCAGAGCTGAATGCAGCAGGATGCCTTAGAATTCCTGATAAAGTTTCCATGTTCTGTCTCTTGGGTCCTTAGGTTTCCTGTGAATTTAGTGCTAGTGAAGGTGTTGGAATGGCAGCCTTGGAGATTGAAGTCCTCTTTCCCTAACACAGGTACAACGTGGAGAGATGGCCAGTGTCCCTCGTGCTGCCCTGCAGTGTTCCTTGGTTTTTGACCTAAGAAGGAAACCATCCATGGGCTAATGGGGAGAACTGAGGGCCTCTGTGGCCAGGGTGGATGTATTTACATTGCTAGACTTAAGCCATGGCTTAAATCAGTAAGGCTTGGTTTAAATAATTGATTTTAATCTTTTTTTCCCCTGTTGGTTTACCCTGAAGGAGAATTTCATTGTCACTGGTCAGTAGCAATGAAACATCTGCATCTACAGCACAGTGAGCTTCATATCAAACCTTGTGCTATATTTTTTATGCCACAATTTGTAAAGAATATCCATATAGTTTAAAATCTATTTAAATCTATCTTTTTAAAAAGAAACATTTAAAATTTTATTTTTAGCCCACGTCTTGAACCAGGCTGTGTTGGGCTGGAATTGTACCTGAGTGACCAGCAGTGTTTGTTCTTGTTGGTTAAACTTCTCATGTTGGACTCTTAAGAGTCTCTCTTGTCAAGTTGTGCCTTGAAGAATAATTGCTTAGTATAATTGTTTTAGTTACCAAATATAACCAACTGTTTCTGGACAGAGAGTGTTTTCAGTCCTCTGTAGCTAGTAGCTCTCCTCTTGGCTGGTTGGTTGGTTGGAGGAAAAAAACACAGGTTTTGGTTCAAAGAACACTTTTTTCTGTAACTTAGTGCCATGCACTGAGCCAGTGACTGTCACCAGTGCTGTTCTCTGTCCTTTAAAACTTGTGCAGCAAACACGAACTACCCAATGGCTTTTAAATTAAATTTGAACAATTCCTAGGTAGAATTTCTGAACATGAACAGAGCTGTCAGCTTCAAAGAATTTTTTTAAATGTGAATTTTTTTAATCCACCCTGTCCATGGTTCAGTGAGAGAGGGATCTCTGTTAGATGGCAGAGCTGAAGCCTGTGTTCATGAACCCTCTGCATGAAACCAGGATCAGCAGTGATTTCCCCACTAATGAAAAATTAGTTGATGGTTCTGTGCTGTCCTGCTGGGGTGGCAGCAGTCCCTGGTGCACTAAACCTTCTAAAAGGTCAAAGCACCCACATTCACCTCTTTCTTCCACTTCTGGCCTTTCATTTAATAAATCATACTTTCATTTCTCCATAATACAGGAATGATGAACTGCCTGATTCTGCTCTGGGGTGCTTGAACAATAAATGTTATGTAAATGTGGGTGCAGGAGCTGCACCAGAAGCCAGGGAACTTTTTGGAAGGCATGATCCTGATTTCGTGCAGATGTGTAGGGGGGAAGTCAGATACAAATATAGACTTTATAAGCTGCTTTAATTCAACCCAGGCTATTTTTCTATGTGGAAGTTGCTCCTGAAGCACGTCTTGGGGCCAGTGCAGCTGCCCAAGTAGGCATCTCTGCTTCTCTGGATTTGCTGGCTGCTAGTAAAAACCTTTTGAAGCTCTGATTTTAGCTTTGCAAAGCAATTCTGTAAGGGCAGTGCTGTAATTACTTTGATTTATTCTTTAGAAATTCTAGTGGAAAAAAAAAATCTGGGCTGCATTCTTAGAGCTCTGAGTGGAGCGAGTGCATTTTCAGTGCACTAACAGGAATGCAGCTTTCCCCTGTCTGGGCTGGTGGATTTTCCTTTTCCTCAATCTCTTTTGGTGCTAACAGCTGCCTTCATGGAACAAGCATGTGCAAAAGCTGTCCTGTATATAAATTCAAAACTTCTTCTATTGCACTTGATTGGGATTAAGATGCTCTTTAAAACAAAACACCTTTTTTTTTTCCACTCCCCTTAATCAATGCTGAATCCTAAAATGGGAGAAACTTTCTGCCCCCCTGTGAAAAGCAGGAATTTTCTCCCAGCTCTCAGCCTGCAGCATGGCTCCTTAGAAGCGCTAAACAAGTTATTCCTGCTTCTCTGCTGGAACAGCCACTGATCCTGATAGTATCAGCACTCCTGCAAAACTCCTGCCAGGAACGTGGTTATGGTCATGCAGTTTGGGGTGAGAGGAGGGAAGGGGGAAGGTGGCTTTCCCTGAGCAGTGGCTTTACTTGTTGTGGAGCCTCTGCTCACCTGAAAGCCACAGCGCTGTGTCTTGGGCCTGGCTTTGGGATTAGCTGGTTTCCATGACCAAGGGGAAGCCTTTCTGCAAGCCAGGAAGCTTTCTCCTGGAGTTATTTGGGCTCCATTTAAAAAGCTGGTGGCTTTGTCAGTCCTGTCCTAACCTGTCTCAAAGTATGTTCAGCAGACTTTCCCAGGTAATTGTGCTGGGAGATACGCTCAGCTGCAGTGTTTCCTAGCCAAGATCCTGGGAACACGTAGCTCCCAACAGCTGCCTGCCTCTTGTCCTGAACTGTTGAACTCACAGGGAGCTGTGTCATCGCTTTTGTGGGACCAGAGATGACCAGCAAGGTCTGGTGAGGGTGATTGTGTTCATGATTATAAAGGTGTGCTCACCTCTGCAGCCCCGTGCCCAGGGGAAGGTTTCTGTGCTTCCTGGTGCTAGTGCAGTTATCTGTAGAAGCCTTTTAGATGAAATAGAGATTAGTTTAAATCTGGAGGGGACTGCTTCTCTTACCTTTGAAATGGTATTTTGCTTGGTTACTTTGTGGTGAGAACTCACTCTAAAGATTAAACACATCAGTTCTCAGAGGATGAGCTAGTGCATCACCCCAAGGGTAACAGAGATTTGTCTATGCCTAAGTCTCTTTAGTGGCAAGGAATTAGCACTGACCTGTCTCTGAAGAGCTCAAGACCCCCAGTATCTTCAGCTTTATTTATTTTTCTGTCTGTGTCCATCTTCCATAGTTTTGGAAATCAGGAGAAGCATGGGGGTGTGTGAGCTGTACCTCAACTACTCACTAGTGATTGCCCATAATGTAATTTCCCTCCAGACAAAGGAGACGGTACTCTGCATTGTATTTCCAGTGCAGGGCTGGCAGCAGCTCATAGAGAATAGTTAAAAGACTTCCTGTTGTAGCCTGCCTTCTCCTGCAGGTTCTCCATGCCCTGGTTCATGTATTTGTACCTTAGATACCCTTGGTTTAGGAGACAAGTGTGTTTTTGGAGCAGGCTGCAGGGATATTTGTATTCTCTTTTTATGAGTGCTCCACTGCCTGTGAATGGATCCCTGCCTTGTCTGGCAAAATCCTGGATATGCACACCATTAACCCTGCTCCTGGGAGTGCCCCTGGGACTTTTCCAGCTGTAGGTGTCCTGCTGACTAGCAGGAAGGATTGTGCAGTTCAAACATGACAGCAGCGGTTCTTTCCTCAGGGGAATAAGTCAAACCAAGCCTGTAGCTGGAAGCACTTAAAAGAGCCAGTTCTGAAGGCATGAGCAATCCAGGCAGATCAGGAACTCATGATAAATATGACGTGAGAGGTTTGAGTCTTTGAGTCAATTCTTATGAAAAATATCTTCCTTTTTGAACAGAAGAGTCTCTCCCATATCCCAGTGCTGTCGCCAAGTTCTATTTTCTCAATATAAAGAGAAAACAGAACAAAAATAGGTCAGTCTAGCTCTGCAATCCTTGCCCTTTCCAGGGCTGTGCTGTCTGTGTTGCTGATGTGCAAATGGATTTATTAAGAAAAAATAAACCCCATTTCCTTGTTTGTTTTGCAATGACTGCTACATTCATCTCAAACCTCCTCCCACAGTCTTGTGAGCTGATGGGGGACATGACACTGCAATGATTCTCTGCTCTGTCTGCGTGTGGAAGTTTGAAGAGTTGGGTCACAAAATGAAATCCAATGAGTAGCTCAGCCCACGGCTGTTTTCATTCAAGCTTGCGTAGGACACAGAGACACTCAGATGTTCCTTTGGTTATTTAATAGCCTCTGCCTGTTCAGGGCCTTTGAAAGGTGCTCTTGCTGCTTTTGGCTGTAGTGATTAATATGAATTCTTTGTGCAGAGATTTCTTCTGTGTGAAGAAATCAGAGGCGAGCGCTGGGTTTTGCTAGGAACAAGCCTTTATGGCTTTGATCCAGGCACACACCAATCCCCAAGGGAACACTTGGAGTGTGCAGAGTTCACAGGCTGGAGAGCCAAATTCTATAGATTTCAGCGAGCACACAAACCCTCTGTCTGTGTTAAGAGTTGTGGCCTTAGTGCCTCTCTGTGTAGCTGTTGTGTGAGCTTTGAAGCCTGGCTGGAGCCGGGAGTGTGGTGCTCCCAGCAGCTCCTGGGAGACAGCTCTGCGGGGGCTGAAGGGGAATGTGGGCACTGGGGTCTCAGCTGCATGGGGAGAGGTTGTCTTTGCCTGGCTTGGAGTGGAAACTCGGTCCTGAAGGAAGCAGGAGGGAAGGAGAAGACTCTCAGAGATTGCAGTGCAACGCCTTAGCACCTGGTTTACCTCCAAGCTCCTTGTGGGAGCCTCTGTGGGGTGGATCTTGTCTAATTCTGACTGAGACCCAGGGCTATGGCCTTCCTGTAGTTTGGTAGTGTTTCTTTTATCAGTAAAAGTCATTTAGAGTTGAAACATTTGTTCAACTTCCCTCTTCCCCAAAAGCTGACCTGTGGGATCCTGCCTCAGAATGAGCAGGTGGGAGAGAGAGGAGAGGATACTTGTTCCACATCACCTCGTGTCCCCTTTGAACACCAGCAGAACTTGACTGACTCCTTCTTCATCACCTCTAAGAGGACATGGAGCCTGCCAGGCAGTCACAGCCTGAGGCAGTGACAGAATTGTTTCCTGAGTACCCTCTGAAGCGCTCTTTGTCCTTGGTTCTTTCCAGATTGCCATGAAACACCTTTACCTGCAACAAGAGGACTCTTGTTTTGTCTACAGGTTCTTCAGTCATTTCTAGTCAAAAGTGTTACCTAGGGGCAACATTGTTCCATGCATCCTGCTTTTCCTGAGGAATGGGGTCTGGACAGTGTTCTGTGTAAGTCAGCCTGGCCAGGATCCTCGTGTGGCATTTCTCAGCCAGGGGTCCCAGTGTGCTTGTGGGAACAGGAACTGTCCTTGGGCTGCCTGAGACAGCCCCAGCGCCAGGCACAGCTGAGGGGGAGCACAGCAGTGAAGAAATCTGCAGGAGCTGGGACTGGTGCCCTGCTTGAGAACTTCCCCAGGCACAGACCAGGGATGAGGAAGAGGGGGAAACATCCCAGTGATCATGTAGCAACAGAAGTTTAACTCTGTTTAGCCAAACTCTAGCATGGCACTTTTGTCTAGGGAGCTGCTTAGGGTCTGCAGGTACCACAGATTGAGTTTCTCCATGCAGGCAGTGAGTGCTTCTCAGCTGGCAGAGGAAGAGTAAGACTGGGGAATAATTTTAGTTTGTTCCTGTTCTCTCAGAAATCACTGGGATATAGTCACAGGGGCACTGACCTGCTGGTTCTCTGATACACAGCTGGCTCTGGGGTTAAAAAGGTTTGACACTAGGGAAGAAGAAGTCAGTGCAGAGTGTAGTTTGCTTTTTGGGAGTAAAGGTGTGTCACAGAGCTCACAGGAGGAGATGGGCTGCAGGAACCCTGAGGACAGAGCTGAGGGCTGCTGCTGCAGCCAGCAGTGGGGGTACCTCGGATTGCTTGTGATTCTTGTGCTGTCAGGGGTACCTGAGCAAAGAAACAGATTTAAAATATTGTGACTGAGGATTTCTGTTTGGTCCTGACCTTATAGGACAGACTGCCCTCACTTCTCCACTGTCCTGAGCTGCCAGTGGTCACAAGAGGGTTTTGTCCTCCTGAATGGAGGCCTGGCCCAGTGCAGTCTGAACAACAGCAGCCCAAACATTCAGCTTTCATATTCATGCAGAGAGAGGCAGCATGTTGCTTCTCTGCTGTCCTTTATTCTTTGGTACATGCTCTCTTTTTCTGTAACACATCTGCAGAGCTCTACAGAGCTTCCCTTCTACGGTTTGCAGTAAGCCCCCAGCAGCATGGGCAGGGAATAGATGACTGTGGATACAGCAAATGCCAACCAAAGGGGCAGGGGATGGGTAGAGGCCCCTTAGACCCTGATATGCAGGATATCTGCTTTGAAACAGCTTGTAAAGTTTCCCTCCTGTGTAGCACAGGGCGTGTGGTCTTGTGCAGAGAACCTTTGCATCACATTGGAAGGATGATCTATTTCTGTGAATCAGTCAGGGGTCATCAGACTTCCAGGGAATTTACCAATCCACTGGCTGCTGCCTGGAGGTGTTCAGAGTTATCTGGGTGTTCAGATCCAAGTTTGAAGTGTTTTGGCAGTGGGAGCCAGGTAGTCACACAGTCTGAGGCGTAAAGCTCACTTGGGGAAGGCTCCTTAATAATTCTGTCCTACTCTTCAGCTCAGAAAATCTATGTGCCTGGCTTATTTCTTTTCCCCAGGGACAGTGAGAGCAGCAAGTCAATCTATTATTCTGCCCTGTCCTTCTTGGAGGAGTGTTGTTTGTTTTTGTGTTGCAGCCTAGTTTGGGTTTCTGGTGCTGTAAATGCAAGTCCTCCAGCATTCCTGGCACACAGCAGCATCATGTTTACACCCCTTTCCCACCTCCACTCTCTCCTCTGCACTTTATTTCCAGTAAGTTCCTGACTTGCTGTCACCTTAGATAAGTCACTCTTCCATCCCCTGCTTTCCCAGCTGTGGAGGGAGAATTGTGCCTCTCTGCAGAGCTGGGAAGCTTTGAGAGTGCCACAAAAGGAGCTAGATACAGACTAGCTCTATTCATTGTGCTTGACAACTCAGTAAATAAAACTTCACTCAATTGCTTGCTCTGTAATTCACATATAAAAGACCTGTCATTCTGATCTCCCCCTCACCATGCTTGAAATGCAAAAGATGGAGTGAGACCTTCTAGTAAAGCAGCACAATTTCAGCACAGTACAGAATGGGCTCTGAAGGTATTGTCATAGATAACTTAATGCACCTGCCTTGGTAGGAAGAGCAGAGTGCACGTGGTGAACTTGCCCTTTGTCATGACCTTTGAGCATTTAACGTGGATCTTGTGACACTTGGCCTTCTGGATCCTCAGAAAGTGCAGGAACTGTTGTAGCTTTCCAGAGAAAGGCAAAGGATTTTCCTGTAGAGCTGGAGCCTGTCTTGTCACTGTGCTGAGGGAGGATGTTGCTGCAGTGTCTCTTGGGCAGGGGATCTCTCTCCAGTTTGTCAGTGTGCTCTGAACACACAGTTGGTAATTTGACAAGAAAGGCTTTGATGATAAAGGCAGATTCAGCTGTTCCCACCCTGCTTTGGGGTTCACTGCCTCCTCTCCTTTGCCAGAGCTGGGAGAGGCTGTGCACCTCCAGCTCAAGACATCATCCTCCAGAAAGGGGGAGTGGGCAGGGAAATGTCTCCTGGGGAGGACAGCACCAGGTGGGCTCAGGGTGCAGAAGATGGTGGATGGCAGCTGTGGTCCCATTCCAGATGTTTATCCCAGCCTGGCAGTGCTGATGTTTCAGTGACAAGCTTTGAGACAGTGGAATTGTGACTCTTTCTGGGTGGTTGGGGTGGAGGATGGTTGATGTCTCTCAGGTGGTGTTGCAACACCCCGGGGAAGCACAGGAGGGATTGAGGAGTGGATTGGAATGGCTTAGCAGGATGGTGGAAGCCAAGCATCATTTCCCACTGTGGAGCTGTCCTAGGGAGGCACAGGAGAGCTTTTGGTGCTGTGCTGGGTTGTCTGCTCTCAGTGTTAGATCATAGCTCATTCTTCCTGGGTTTCCTGCAGAAAACAGGACTGTGCTGGGCTTAAAGCCAGCGTTGCCTAGGCCATGGATTTAGGGAGCAGGCCTTTGCCAAGCTGCTGCACCCCCCTGTACTCCAACACCCAGGCAGGTCAGTATGGACACGATCAGACCTTGCCTGTCTGCGCTGCTTTCTCTTTCCTGTGCTCACCTTCTTGCTTTGACCTTTCCCTTCCCTCTTTGTGTCCCCACTGAATGGCTGCCAGCCCCTGCCAGCTCTGCCCTTAGAGCTGCCACTTGTGGTTCCTGAAAAGGCCGATGGGCGGGAGTGAGCAAGAGCCGAGCAGGGAGCAGTCGTTGGTTACACCAAGTTTTCTTCTTTTTCCCCATTCCTTCAGATACAGCACAAAGAATCCCTCTCTGCAGTCCGAGACAGTTCATTACAAGAGAGGGGTAAGCCAGCAATTCTCCCTGCCTTCCTTCAAGATTGATTTCTCAGAGTGGAAGGATGATGAGGTAAGTGTCTTCTCAGTGTCCCTTTCTTTCTGCACCCTCTTGTCCCAGAAGCACTGGCCTCTGCTTAGTGCCACAAAGTCATGGCTGGAAGACACTTTCTCCGAGTTCCTCCAGTGTGTTTTGTGGGTACTGCCCTGGGAGGAGCAGGCAGATCAAACCAACTGTGAGGAAATCCAGAGAGGTGACTTTTGATATCACCGATCAGCTGATTTAGGAGGGAGGGAGGCTGCAGAGATTGACACTGGAGCTTTTCCTGGAAAACCTGCCTTACTTTGCCTTCTTCTCCCTGCCAGCCAAAGAGCTTGTGGGAACAAATGTCTGTTGTGATCTCTGTTTTTGTGGGTTTTAGTTTTAAGATATTGCAGTTTTTTGGGTGGTCCTCTAGAACAGGGGTCTCCAAAATGAGGTGCATGCAATACAATTCATCAGGGTGTGGTGAGGACTTCAGAAATACAGGTATATAACCAACAGATGATAAACACACATATATTAGGAATATGTGCTCAAAACACATTACAGATGGGATGAATAGTAAGAATAGTTTGGAGATCACTGCTCTGAAGAGTCCTGTTCTGTTAAAGGGACACATCCTACACTGTTATCTGTAGCAGTACAGTGTAGTGAAGGGATATTCTTCTGGGGCAGATTTACAGTGGTGCATCAATGCTGAATATAGGAATGTTTTCCTCTTCTTAATTTAACCCATAACTGCAAACAGACCAGGGCTTGGTTTTAATTAAGCTTTGTGACTTTCCTGCATACCAAACATTGTGGAGTCCTGTTAATTTTGGTATCTTTGGTATCTGCAAAATTCCAACGTGGACAGTAAGACTCTCATTTCTGAGCCTTAAAACTTTGACCCAAGGGCTTCCCCTGCACATGGCATAGGGAAGGAAACCCTTGGTCTTTCCCCTGCTCTATGCAGAATTGTGATAAGAGATTTCAAAGGCAGAATAGTTATTCTGTAGCTACTGCTACAGAATATGTACAGAAATGTGGACCCCTCTCCCAGGAAGTGCACACTGATAATGGTGTTCATTTCCTGACCCAAGCATGTGCAAGTGTATTGTGTATGTGAACCTTGGTAGACAACTCTACCTATTAAGAAAATAAAAAAAAGAAAAAAAAGGGGAGAAAAAGGGGGGGAAAAAAAAGTAATCTTTCATGTATTTGAAAGATTGAATAGCTATTGTCCTGAAGTTACAATTACAACTATAATCAGTCCCGTGCCTTAACAAATGCTGTGGTAGTTACCAAGAGCCTGCAGAGTCTGGTCTCCTGATGTCTTAGCTTCTCTGCCAATAGATGATTTCACAAGTTCAGCCTACAAAAGCCTGGAAGAGCTGCTTTTCAATCCCTTCTGTTGTCTGAGAGAGCTCAGTTCCCTTTCTTCTTAAAGAATTGAGAAGCTTAATTTTCACTTTTGTTCCTGTCAGCGAGGTTTTAACTCAAGTACTAAAGTCACATCCCTTTGACAGCTTAAAGGAAAAGTGAGTTTCCAGCTCTCTTTGCTTGTTCTGCTGCATCCTCTGTTTCCTCTTTTTTCACTTGTGTTACTGGGAGCTGGAAAAAATGTGGAACAAGCACTTTGATTCCAAAGAGTTTCCCCTCCCATGTCAGCTCTGTGTTATATATTGGTCCTTGTCCTAAATCTTCCTAACTGGCCACCAAAATGAAGCACTGTTATCTGAGAGAGCTGGCAGTGTCTTAGCTGCATACAATTGACTTTTCAGATTTCTTTCCAGCTTTGTTATGGGTGTTGTTCAAAACCCCCAGATTTTTTTCATATTTTTGCTTAGTGTAATACTCGGATATAACGTAGGTCTTGGCTGGCAAAGAAGGGAGACTAATGTTTTGTTGGGTTGTTCTGTGAAAAGCTTTATAGAAGTTATTTTATCTTCTTCATTTACTGATTTGCTTGGAAATTATAGAGTATGGCTTGTGTCGAGTGAGTTGTGTTCAGGGCCCTAAAAATGAATGTGAAATGGTGCCTTAAAGAGGCCTTTTGTTCAAGAACACTGGAGTTTATATGGTAAAGCAACCTCAGTTCTGTGATGTGACTTTCCCTTCAAATGGTTTATCTTTTGAGAGACTGGAGCAAATCAGGCTGCAAATGATGTTGGGGCTATGGCAAAGTGGTGGGAGCCCCAAACACTGTCTGAACAGCGCTGCCGGACCTGGAATTGAGACTCAGTTTTCATGGAGAAACTGAAAACAGATTACCTGGAGCATCAGGGTGAAATGACATTATTTTTTTTCACTCTTGGCAAGAGATGAGACAAAAACATCCAAGTCAGTAATTAACAAAAACAGCAGAAATCCAGTCCCTGAGCCACTTCCATTCCTGGCTTAGGACAGTATTTGTAAGGTTGCCTTTTCTTGTATTTCTAAGATGACACGGAGCTTTTGATGTGCTTTAATGAACTGTAGGGCAAAGGGAGAAACCGAGACTGTTTCCCTTGCACTCAGATTTTCACTCTCACCAATTAAAAGCTCAAGGACCTGCATTTCATAACATGCCAAGAGATGAAAATCAGTCTGGTGTTAAAGTGTTGTGTGAGCTTGAAGTTCTGCAGATTTTCCTCTTATGTCTTCAGGAACTTCATACCAGAGCCAAGGTCTCTTTGTGGTGTTGGGAGCACAATGTGCTGCTGTGCTAAAGCCAATATATCTTGTTGTATGTAGGCAAAATTGTGGCACTGGATATATTTTGAGAAATTTGTCCTACTGCAAATCACTCAGAAGACTTTTAGGACACATGAATTAATGAGAATTAAATACCATTTGTAATTCAAACCTAGATGCTTTGCCTTGCTTTGCTGGTGTTTAGTGCCACGTCAATGTGTGTATGTTGGAGTTTACTCCCTTTTAAAGTTGATGTTTCAAATTTTAAATTTTTGGAATTTAAATTTTTGGAATTTTAAATCCTCCTCTTCAGTCATGTCTTTTGAAACCAGGAACTGGGGGTCTGTCTGAAGAGCCCTTCATTGAACTAACATGATCACCAGTGCTGTCTTCAGGCAAGTCTGGTGTGAATTGTGTAACCTCAACTCATTTCTTTCCCTCAGCTGAACTTTGACTTGGACCGTGGCGTGTTCCCTGTGGTCATCCGAGCAGTGGTGGATGAAGGGGATGGTAAGAATTGCTCTTCTCTTCCCATGGTCTTCTCCTGGCTCTCTCTGAGCTTATGTGACCCTTTCAGGACTAACCTCCTTGGAGTAAAAATATTTCAGGAGTTCACCAAAACTTCCCTTTATTAATAGGGCCAAGCTAACCACATAACAAACATACTTTTAAAAATAGTTTCATTTTTTTACAGGAAAAATGGCCAGATATTTAGTGTTGGAATAGTGTTTAGGAGAGCTCCTGGCTCTGCCACCAGTACCAGGCACACAAATTAGAGCAAATGACATCTTTGCTTGTTGGCTTTTGCTTTTGCAGTTCATAGGTCAAAGAGGGTGGAGCTGGTGTTTTCTCCTTCTTCTTGAGGGGTCAGCTGTCTTCCTAAAAACCTGGAAACGGGCAGAGAAAAGGAAATGGCTTTAAAATACTCAGGTCACACTTCAGCCAAATGCAGCTTCATTCAGCAGTTTGAAATGATGCTTTTTTGGAGGATGTTGAATGGTTATAAAAGAAGAGCATAATCTTTCAGGAAAAATAATTATTGATTTTTAAAAAATAATTAATAACTAATAATAATTCGTAATTATGTTTAATTGATGGTTATTTTTAAAGCACACAGCTGTTTTGGAGAGGGTAGTCCAGTGACTATTTAGATGATTTGTTTTAGATTATTACTCACCTTACATGGTATTTACCTTAGGGGATGTGTGCTTTTGGGCTCATCTGGAGTATCAGCAATGGACAGGGCACAAGGAAATCACATTTTCTCTGAAACTGGGGGGTTTTATGGCCAGCAGGGCCAGCATTTCACTTCTGTAACATTTTGTACAAAATTTAAGATAATTAGAAAAGAAAAAATCCATTGTTGATCACATTGTTCAGGTCAGTCACTTGCTCAGTTTCTTATGTTGTAGATGTGAAAAAGCCCAGAAACTCATTACATTATTTTACAGTCTTCCAAGCAGACAGAAATAGAACTGAATAAGCCAATTTGAAGTGTGACTAACAAAGCACAGTGCAACATAAAGGAAATTACTTCTAAAGTGCATCTATTTTTAGTGATTTCAGGCACCCTTAGTAAAATCGACATATATGTGTATTTCTTGACCATAAATATAAAACAGCTTCCTCTGTTTATGGAACATTTGGCAAGGTGTTTATACTCTTTAATGTTGGGCATGTCTAGAAGGATCAAAAATAGAACAGGAGGCAGTATGGGAAGCATACATTTATGCACATTCCATGCCCAGTCTTAGCCAATAATGTACTATCATCTATTTTAATAACCTAGAAAACCTTTAAAACTTTTAAACTTTTAAATCCCCTCCCGGAAAGAATATCAGCACAAAAATGTGTGAGTTTGAGTGGGATTTGAGGAAATTTTGTAATTTGGTTCTTTTTTTTTTTTAACTGATGGGCCTGGAAGGAGCTGGTGTGGTGTGTTTGGAAAATTACAGCTGGCCTGGAACCACTTATGTTAAATAAGGTTGAATGGTAAATTAAAATAGCAGTTGGGGAGATGCTGGTTTGGACTGAACTCTGCCATGGCTTGCAGTGTTAGCAGGTCACACCACTCTGGCCACACACACTCCTGGAATGCACAGAGGATATGAATTGTTACCTCTTCCTTGGCCATTCAGACTGAGGGAAGGGACCTGAATTTTGTTTACTCTGAGAGATAGAGCAGCCTTGCTCTTGGCTGGCAGTGAGAGGAGCAAGCAGAATTCCCAGTTTTAACCCACTTTTCTGTATTTTGTTGTGTTCCTGATTCCAAATTGCCATGACCAACCTCAGTTACCCAGCAAATCTGCAGGCAAATCTCCCCTCTTTCACATACAGCTGTTTCCAAACAGCTGTGGTTTGTGTGCCATAGTCCAGTGAATGGTTCCTCTGTTGTCTCTGCTGTTGTGGGAGTCCAAAGGAAGCTGTGGAGCTTCTTTCCCTTTTAGACAGAGCAGTAGTCTCTTCCTTGAGCTGCAACTTCTGGGCAGAGCTGCCCAGCAGCTCTCCTGCCTGTGCTGAGCCCAGCCCTCATCACTCCAAGCAGGATGAGTGCTTCCATGCCTTCCCTTCCCTCTGTGACTCCTTCACAAGCTCTGTCTCCCATTTCCATATGATGAGTCTGAAGAGGATTCAAGGAAAGGATCCAACCAGCTAGAGCTGAACAGAGCCTCAGAGTGCTGAGTGAGAGACTGGGATTGTACCTCACCTTCTTTTCTCTCTATTTGCTGAAGGAGCCAGGAATGCAATACTGAAACCTTTGACAGCCCCTTCCAATTGCTGTGGGATTAAGAGGGAACCCTCAAGTTTGGAAGAGAGAAAATGCTTGTCTTTGGACAAAGCTGGATAGGGATGTTTCAGTGTCTGAAGTCAGTATGAGAAATAAATGTTTTATAAGCATGTCTGACTAGACTGAAATAAAGTAATAAGTGACAGGGCTAGAAGTGCTGCCAATTGCTATTAAACCAGATAGATCTGTGATAAATTCAAGTAATTAAGCCCAGGAATTTCAGGAGACAGGAGAATCCCACTAAGTGCTTTGTTTTACTGTCCCTTTCCAACCTCTGCTAACAAAGTGGGATAGTTTGGAGCACCCAGCACAATGAAGGCATGGTTGCGTAGGGTCCATCACTGAGCCCAGCAGGGTTTTGTTCTTGCTCTGTTCTGAGCCAACCTGATGACAAGATAAGAAAAGTTCTAAATGCAGGAGAAGGTGAAAATAGAACAGATGGCAGCTCAGAAATTGTAAGTGGACTAAAATTTAGCTCAGGGTACTTTTATGCTTGTGCTGCTTGAGAGGTTTAACCAGTTCTGCCCTTTCTTTTTTTGCAGTGGTGGTTGAGGTCACTGGTCATGCCCATGTTCTTCTGGCTGCATTTGAAAAGGTAAATGAGAGGTTTTTTTTATCCCTCTCCCAGTTCTTGCGTATGTAAACATTTCCACAGGTCATTAGTTTGTATTTATATAACACTTGGCACAGACGAGTCCTGGCCTGTGATTGGGGTCCTGTGTGCTGCTGTACTACCAAGAATCGTTTGCAGCAGCTCCTGTGCAGCCTGTAATTATCATTTGTACCTGAGCTGGTCACTCAGAGAACAGCAGGGGTGTTTCCTGTGTGTGGAGAGGGTGTGTTCCTCCCGTGGAGGGTGGAAGGTGTTTGCCATGGCTGCTTCCATGCAGTTTTCCAGGGTTTCATGATTTTTGCAGAACTGGATCTGCTGTGTCCAGACTCTGTTGCACCAATGTTAGCCTGAGTTTACACACAGGACCAAGGCCTCTTGGAAGGATTGGCATGCATCCTGTGTAAAGGCTGAGTTCCACTGCTTTTGAGTGGTGTGTTTGATGTAACTGAACCCTGCCTACATGGTAGGGCCAAGCTGTGTGCACAAGCCTTGATAACAAACTCTCTTCCCTTGGAAACTGGACCCTGGAAACAAATGGAATATCCATAACTGGACCTATCCATAGCATAACCCTGTTGTGTCTGATTGTGCTAATACTGCAGACACATTTTCTGGGCGGGTGATACTTGTAGTGACATGCTGAGGTGAGGCAAGAGGTGCTGGAGCAGAGCTGGAAGTGTAGAGGGAGCAGCATCAGTGCTATGCTGTTTGGAAATTCTCCACTTCCCAGCTGGCAAGTGGCTGACTTCTGTATCTCAATGTGCCTGGTTCCTGCCAGGTCCTAATTCTGTTCCTCCAAGGTGGATAATGTGGATGATGACAAGCTGAGTCAGAGGGCATGGCAAGCACAGTCAGTCCTAAGGAAGCATATGGCTGGAAGATGCTCTAAGTGTTCTAGGTTGCTTTTTTTGTTGGACTTGGTCTGTGAAGAAAGTGAGTTTTCCCCTGTTAGAAAGGCTGCTCTTAGCATTGGCTTTGTAGGTAGCTTTACTCCTGCAATTGGACACCTGTCAGAAATGAGATGGAGTCAGCTGCAGCACCCCTAGGACCAGGGCAGGGATGTTACCGGAGTTTCCTCTGGCTGAAGTGAAAAAACAACGCACTGGAATCCTTCAGTCATAGTTCAGCCACTTCTTACCTCTCATCTTCCACTGAATGCTTAAAACAAGATTAAATTCTCCCTTTTAATAAAAAGTCACAAGGCAAAGTACATGTTGAGTTCCTCATCCTCCCTGTTTGATTAAAATATATTCCCCATCCTTAAAGTAATTGCAGCTTTTGAAGTCTAGGTCCATAAATCCAGGGGAGGTCCTTGATAAATGAGCACTGCTGATCCTCAGAGCTTGTTCAGAGGAAAAACAGACCAGCAGGACTTTGTAACTTGCTATGTATGTATCTTTAAGATCAGAAGAATAACCTTGATCCTGTGTGTAGTCTGACCTTGCAGCTCCTCCAAAGGCAGAAACTTGTTTGCCTTAAAACAGGACTGTTTTGTCTGTGCTGCAATGCTGTTGTCCCTTCCTTCTGAGACTCCTTCAGCAAACAGATGCAGATCTGCAGCTGCTCACAAGACCTGCTGGAGCATCCCCTGATGCTGCTCCCTAGCCTATGGCAGGGGAGTTCATTTCTTTCACTGTAGTGGCCCTTGTGGATGATGGGGAAAGTAGAACTGGCACCCTACTCCCATCATTAATTCTGGCACCAAGCACACACAGAATTGTTGCAGCTGTGCTTGCTGCCACTAAGCAAATCAAAGGCTCCACAGCTCTGAGGATGTGAGCACATGGGACTTGTTTCTGACTCCATTCAGTGGACAAACCTTGTTCTCAGCCTTATGGCAGCCCCTTGCTCTGCCAGGGCTCTGGCCTCGAGTGAGTCTGTCACTTGGTGTTATTTTGGGTGTTAACAAATATCCCTGCCAAGTCCTGCTGGACTGGCTGAAGAAGTGTCTGCACCCAGTTGGACCTGAAAGCATCCAGTATGCCAGGGGAGTTTTGTGGGGGCTCTGACCAGGTTTAACTCGAGCTAAGTCCACCTGGCTCTGCACTGGAGCAGACCAGTAGCTCTCCAATATCCTGTTCCACTAACTCTGCTGGGGGGCACTGCTTCCATCCAGGCTGTCCTGCTGATACACACCCCACTCTCCCCTTAGCTAGCAGACACCAGCTCTGAAACAAGCCCCTTCTGATTTGTACACTCCAGCTATTTAATGCTTTAATGTCTTTTTTTTTTCTCTGCTAGCACGTTGATGGCAGTTTTTCTGTGAAACCGCTAAAACAGAAGCAAATTGTAAGTACTTGTTTCCTTTCTACTCTTGGTTAAAGACTTGCTGGTGTCCCACAGGTGCCTGGCTGTACCCAGTGGGAAGCTTTGGTGTTCACTGGGAGCCTGAGATCTCACCTTCTTAGCTCAGATCTTGTAAGCAAAGTGCTTACAAGAGGTACTGGCCACCCTTAATTTTGTAGTTTTGTCCCCCATCCTGGTCTGGTGTGATGTGCAGAAGCTGGGTAGCGTCTTACAAAGACTGAGGTTGCATCCAGTCCTGCATAACCAGAAATACATAAGCAACTGCAAGCTGCTAAGATTGCCAAGAATTTCAGCTTCTGAAAAGAAATCTGGTAGTGATTCTGCTGCAAGGATCAGCTTGAAATGTCTTCAGGAAAGAGATGAAATTTTGGTGGTTGATCCTTTGAGCTTTAGCTGTGTGCTGTGTTTTAGCTTTAAATGGGTTTCACTTCATCTGCTTACTTGGTAGCTAGGGGTTTCTGATTTGAATTAAGTACCTTTTGTTACAAAGAAGGTCATTAAGTGCCTTAATAAGACACTCTTTGCTCCAAGATGTTCATTCCAATCCTTGGGTCAGAAAAGAGCTACAAGCAGTATCAGTAATCATAGCTCAAGACGGCATTTAGAAAAACACACAGCACCACTGAAACTGAGATAGCATCTGCACCCTTAGGAGAGCAGAGCAGAGGTGTAGAGTCTATGTCTGGAGTAAACCATCTGTGTAACATTGTACATTCTTTGCCATTCCTGCTTTTCTTTAGCCTTCCCCTCCCTGCACTGGGGTGTGGGTGCCTTTTGTGGGCATTGATCAAGAAGCAGCAGTGCATGAGATCAGTTGTAGTGTAAGCACCAACCTGTCTGAAGAAAGTCAGCATGGATGAATACAAACAGATGGGTCAGCAGAAAACCATGACCTGGACTTGGCCAGTGGCTCCATGTGCATCTGCTGAGGCTGTAAATAGCAGCAGAAACCTTTGGAAGGATGACATGGTGTGGGATGGGTTGGAGAAGCATGAAGGTGAAGCACTGTGTACAGCTACCTGCTCCTTCTGAATTACTCCCACTCTGAAAACCTAGAGTTCTTCCCAGGAAGAGCTTTGTTGCGCTGTTCACCCTTTCCCTACTGGGATAGGAGCTCCTCAGGATTTTTAGAGGGAAGAAGTCAAAAGGAACACAGATTCCTGCAGGGACTTGGGCCTCTTTCTTCCTGACCTCTTCTGTGCTTTGAGCTGACAACTTCTGCACTTACAGTCACTCATCATGATCCTCTGAGGAGTCAGGATGCTGGAACAAGGCTCTCTTTGAAATGCCAAGTTACAAAAGAACATCTCCCACATAATTGTTCCCAAACTTCCTGGGTGAGTTGTGAGCCGCTGCAGAGGGTTTTGCTCAGCAGTCCAACAGCTGATCTCATTGCCATGAAATGCAGGCCTAGAACAGATTGTCTGTGAGCTGCACACTGAGTTACACAGGGAGACTTTGGAATTGGTTTGTTATCACTGCTGTGTCCCAGCTCAGAGCATTTCTGAACTGGCAAATGGACTGGGCAAAGCCACTCCTCTTCTGAGCAGTGACAAGAGGAGAGGAGAGAGGCCAGTTTGACATGGAAATTACAGAGGCACTGGGATTGATGAGCTCTTTATAGCACTGGGTTGTTGGTGGCTTGGCTTGACTGCATGTTGGGAGCTGGACAGCTACTGGAGATGGCAGGAAAGTGTTTCCTCACACTTTTTGTGAGATGTGCCTCTTTGGTACCTTGCAACCACCCTTTTACCTGTCATGAGGGTTTCTGTGGAGGAACATATCCTGCTCTGGGGAAGTTCCTGTGTAGCACCAGATCACAGAATCATTTGGGTTGGGGAAGAGCTGCAAGATCATCGAGTCCAGCCTGTGACTGATCACCACCATGCCACCCAGACCAGTTATTCCCTGAACACCTCCAGGGATGGTGACTCCACCACCTCCCTGGGCAGCCCCTTCCAATGTTTAACAACCCTTTCTGTGAAGGAATTCCTCCTGGTGTCCAACCTGATCCTCCCCTGGTGTTACAGATCCTTCTGCAGAGACATCCTACCATCCAGCAGATAAACACTCCCACCAAACTTAGTGTTGTCTGTGAACTTACTGAGGTTACATTTGATCCCCCCATCCTGATCATCAATGAAGATGTTTAACAGGACTGAATCTTGACTGCCTCAGTGCTGGAATTCAGCTGCTCAGTTGGGTTTGCAGGCAGCTGCCAGTTTCCAGAAGTCATGGCTTGGATTTGTCCCATGCTGGGGCTCTGAGCAACTTCCACCTGTGCCTCAAGGACCTTCTGCCACCACACCCCCAATTCAGAGATGCCACCAAGGGCCTGGGGATGGCAGTAAATGACATCATTTACTAATATAGACTAACATAGAGTTATTCCTCAAGTGCTTCTCTTGCTAAGGGACATGGTTTGTCTGTCCTCAGTAGCTTAACCTTATGGTCCCAGGGGATGAAGAGAGAGGTGCATGATGAACACTGGTGTGCCAGTAAGGAGCTGTTGGCACAGCCCATCCTCTGAGATTGCAAAAATGGGTGGAAGTTCATCTTGGTTAAAGTTAAGCAGGGCCTCACAGAGGAGAGGACTGTAGAAGGCTGATTGCCTCTGGATTATTTGAGCTGTGGGTGTGTATTCCTGATGTCTGGGACAGGCAGAGTACTTGTTTTTAGATGATTTTGATAGCCCAGCTAGCCACTTTTGTTACTCTCTGCTCAGACCAGGCAGGATGGGCTCTACTTTTTGAGCAAGGAGAGACTCATTCTCCAGCTGTCCTTTGCAATATTTGTTTCTATTGCCTTTTTCATGTCACTATAGGGGAGCTCTGGGTGTAACATGGACATTTGACACAGGGAGGGAGGGAAGGTGGTCATAACACCAGTAAGGGCAGAGCAGCTGTCACTCCAGCTGTGGTGTTCTCCCCTAGGTTGACCGGGTGAGCTACCTGCTTCAGGAGATCTACGGCATCGAGAACAAAAACAACCAGGAGACCAAGGTAAAGGTGCCCAGGAGGCTCCCTCAGCTGGGAGTTTCCTGCCTGCACCTTCTGCTTTTGAGCTTAACAATAGGGATTGTCAGGGCAATGTGGAGGTGCTTCCCACAGTCAAGTCTCTGTCATTCCTGCAGGCACCCAGGAGCCCAGGGATGGCAGATCATCCCTGGTGTCAGGCCCAAACAGTCAGTGGAGTTGTGCTGAGGTAATTTTGGGCAGCATGAGGCTCTTGAGGATGTTCCCTGTGGCTGGGATTGCTAGGAGAGAAGGGCATCAGTGCCCTAGGGGTGTGTCAAAGCACAGATTTTTAGGGCTTGTAGAGAGCCAGTGTTGCTGTTTCTCTGCAGTCAAGGCAGTCGTGGTGTCTGTGCTTTGCTCTTGTGGCTCCTTCATGTTCTGCTTGGGGGTTCTGCATGTTCCTGTAGCGTTTCAAACTGAGCTCTCTGGGGCTTGCAAGTGTCCAGAGACATTCCTCTTGCCCAGTAGGAGGGAGCACAGCACCTCTAAGGGATGTATATGCAAATGCCATAACCAGAAACATTTCCCATCTTGAGGCAGGTGCTGCTGCTGGATCCCAGCCTGCTGCACAGCCCTGCACAGGTTGTGTGACTGCTTTATCCTTCCTTTAGCCTTTGTAGAGCTGCCCTTTGCTGCCACCTGGGCTGTGGAGTGTAGCCAGTGCTGGCCTTGGGATCACACCGCTCCAGGCTGTGGAGTCCATGATTTGCACACAGTGGAGTAGCCACAGAGCAAGACAAGCAGGATTTCCTCTCCAGTGTCCTTCCCAGAGCATCCTGTGATCCCTGACTGCCTGTGCCAACAGGTAGCACCCGAAGAGGCAGGAGGGAAAAGTATTTTCCAAGATTTTTCTTGCACAGGATCTACTAACAGGATTGAGGGTTTCTTTTTGGGCCTACCAAAGTCTCGTGATGATTCTCGTGATCCAGCAATCCCATGTTCCTGGCCCATCAGACAAGTGGCCTGGGGCCATTTTTGTTCTTCCTCATTCAGCAAACCATGTGAGTGGGACAGCAAAGAGCCTGCTCTCTCTTCAAAAAAAGGCTGGGTGAGGATGTGGCAGCAGCACAATTGCTGTTTTTACACTGAGGTTGCCCATGTGTTAGCCCTGGTGACCAAAGGGGACCCCAGTGAAGGTGGAGAGGACCCCATCCTGGGTCATCATGGTGGGCTCTGGCACAACTCCTGTGACATCAGTGGGGAGACTGTGGAGTTTTCTGGTGTCAGTCTTGTGGCTGGAGTGTTTCTCTTCCAGCTTGATCAGTGGCTGTGATCCAATATGTGGGGCTCTGAGAGAGATGGGTGTGAAGCATGTTCATGTTGAGTGGGTGCACACTGAGCCTTTTACCAGAGTAGCTGTGGGCAGGTGAGCACCTTGGCCTGGTTCTCCTGCAGCTGCATCAAAGCTTGTGCCAGCACAGGGGGTGCAGGAGAATCACTCAGTTGCTCTGGGGATCTGTGGAAGCTGGGCTGGACATGGCTGGAATGACAGGCAGCACACTTTTGGGGCTGCTCTGTCTGTGGGGAAGAAACGCCAGAGTACCAAAGAGTTCACTTCCCTATTGACCCTGGAGCCACGAGGATGGGAGGCAGGAGCTTGTTCCTGGTCAGCCTCAGTCAAGGGGATTCCTGCCCCAAAATGGGTCCCCTCTGAACAGAACATGGCTCTGGGGAAAGACAACTCTGCCGTGAATTCACAGTGCCCTGAGAGGAAGGAGTGAGAGCAGGGCTGTGTGGGCTACAGTTTGCTTTCCTTTAGGAGCTCCTGCTGAGAGCTGCAAAAAGAGATTTTCCAGGCTTTTGGGTGGGAAACTCCATCAGGCTCCTGTCCCTTGGCAGCTTGGCATAACCCCCTCTGCTCCCATGCCAACCCCTTGCCTCCCCTTGCAGCCTTCAGACGACGAGAACAGCGACAACAGCAACGAGTGCGTGGTTTGTCTGTCGGACCTGCGGGACACCCTCATCCTGCCCTGCCGCCACCTCTGCCTCTGCAACTCCTGTGCTGACACCCTGCGCTACCAGGCCAACAACTGCCCCATCTGCAGGCTCCGTGAGTGCCCTGGCCCCCTCCCCAGCTCCTGATAAGGCACAGCAGGCTGGGAGGAGCGGCCTCTTTTAAATACCCCACCCTAAGGCTCAGCATCGCACCTGCTGCTGCTCTCACTGGCACCTGGAGATTGCTGGCACCTAGAATAAACGTCCTCAGACAGGAGGGGAGAGTGGCTCTCTATCCAGTGCCTCCCTGGCCACTCACCTCACCCTGGGGTGAATCTGAAGGTGCAGGTGCTCTGGGCTGTGCCATGTCAGCAGTTCTTGTGTTTTGGTGAAGATGATGGAAAATGCCCCAAAGGAAGGGATGGAGAAGCTTTATCCTGAGAATATCTGGCTGAGAGAGCAGCCAGTACCACTGGAGGGCTGTTCAAGTACATAGCATGATTTTTTTTAATCTTCTGACAATCTTACCCAGATTTCACCAGGAGGCAGGGATGAGATAAGTCAGTTTGGAGTCTTTTGCTCTGCCAAGAGTTAGGAGGATTTGCTTAACCCCTTCATTGCTCAGCTCTCAAAAGATGGAAAAAACTTAAATATGTGTTTTGACACTCAGGCAGCATTTGCTGAATTCTGTGTATTTTCTCAAAAGCACAGAGGCAGGGGGAGGCCCTTGAGAAATTTGTGTTTTTGCTGGAAGGGGCAGAGTGTGTGTTTTACCCCCTGGTCTCTGAGGTATTTGATTGCTTCTAACTGAAAATTCTCAGGGAAAGAAATAAAGAACCTAAGATGGATGTTTGGCCTGAGAAGTTAAGTCCAAACATGGCAAAGAGCAGTAACCAAAAGCAAGATCTCACCAGAGGAAGCGCCAGACAGCTTTGACTATAAGTAGCACATTATAAAACACAGATTGTCTCATCTGCAGGCTGTAGGAGAGTAGGTTGTGTTTGTTTGGAAAATGCCCCCATCTCAGACTTCCTGGGAATCTGCTTCTGGGGAGTGCAGAGGCAGCAAGGATAGATTTGTACCTCTATTCTCTGGCTCTAGGCTGATCCTGAAGGAGCTGGCTGCAGCAAGAACTAGGGAGATGCCTGGCAAGTTCTCACAGCTGTATCAGTACAGATGTCTGGCTCGTTTGTATGCACCCTTGGCACAGAGGAACAAGCAATATTAAAGATCTGCAGATAGAAGAGAGGGAGTGGCGATCAAAGCTGTGGTGGTGGGAGGACTGAGGGGTGGCTGTGCTGGAGACAGTCACTAACCCTTCAGCTGGAGCCCTTCACCACTACAGCTGGACCCCAGGGCTGAGGTTTGTGGGGTCTGCAAGAACCCAAAGGGGTTTTAATGGGTTTCCCACCCAAGCTGTAGCATACAGTGCACTCCTGAGGCTGTGCTCATGTTTTTCTTATGAAAAAATTTTCTTATGTTGCTGTGACCTACCTTTAAGGGGAACTTTTCTGGGCCTCTACACTTGTACTGTAGCTGAAGTACCCTGTCCATGACTGCACTGGGGCAGGCAGTGCCTGTTCTCCACAAGGGCTCTGTGTACCCAGACTTGTTCAGCCAGCAGATCCCTTCCCTGTGCAGATCAATGGACTGGAAGCCTGACCCCATCACTTGGCTTTAGGGCACTCCATCGCCCCACTCCCCAGGCACAGGGGAGCTCCCCCATGCCAGCAGTGTGTCTGTGGCAAGGCCAGGAGGTCTGGCATGGCCTGGCCCTGCTGGGCTGGGCAATCACCACCTCCTGTTCTCTCCAGCCTTCCGTGCCCTGCTGCAGATCCGGGCGGTGAGGAAGAAGCCGGGGGCTCTGTCGCCGGTGTCGTTCAGCCCTGTCCTGGCACAGAGCGTGGACCATGATGAGCACTCTGTGAGTATCTGGTGATCTCTGTACAAAGCCTGGCCGCTGGTCTCAGCCTGACCAAGCAGCTGGTGGGTGCATGAGTTGTTTAGACTGGTGGCTGGTGGCCCTGGGACCTCAGGAGGTTTGGTCACACCCTCCACTGAGGGCTTCCCAAGCAGTGCCACCTTTTCTTATCAACCTGCTGGATTAGTAACACAGCTGGATTGGAGGAAACAAATCCACAGAAATCTCAGGATGGGAAGGTTTCTTGTTGTCTGTCCCAACAGAAAAGTGGCAGACTCTGGACATGACAGGGTGTGAAAACAGACCAGAGGAGTTCCAGTTTGACTTGCACACACATCTCTGTGGCAGCACATGGATGAAATGCCCTCGGCACTGGGGTTCTCCCTTGGCATGGGAGTAGAATGGCCTCCTTGTGGCAGCTTCCCTGGGTGTGTTGGCATGCATCTGAGGGAGTGTGGGATGGGAAGTGTTGTGCTGGTGGCCTCAGGGCCCAGTTGCATGTCCCCAGTGTGGTAAGGGCAGCAGCTCATTGAGCAGTGCTGTGGCACAGCTGGCTTGGGTGAGACACTAAGATTAAAATAAGAAGGGCAGCTGCATCTAGAACATCCTACAGGCCTTCATGGGAACAGTTACTGTCACAAAAAAAAGTTGGGTTTATCCATCTGCCCTCTGCTGCCTTCAGCTGGGGATGAGGAATAGGGTGGTGGAGAAGCCCCGAGGGTTGTTGTGAAACAGAGTGTGGTGTGTGGAGGACGTGGGCGCTGTCACCTGCAGCGAGGTGAGGAGATGCTGTGTGTCTCTTCCTGTCACTAACCTCAATAAAGAACTTCTTTAAAACATGGTTTTCTCTTGACAGCACCCCTTTAAACCCCTTAAGGTGAGCTCTGTCTCCCTGCCCAGCAGGAAGCCTAGGAGGGAAGTAAGAACAGTAAGTGGACTCAGCTGGTTGCACTTGGCAGCTCTCTGCCAGCAGTGTCACCTGCACGTGGCAGTTTTACACACAAAGGGCTTGCTAACACTCTGGGTTTGGCCTGTGCCCCTGCCAGGCTATGACACTCCACATCCTTCACACTGGCAGTGAGATGCTCACACCCTGCACAGATGATCACTGACATCCCTGGTTTGCCTGTGAGGAACAAGCAAGAAGGAAGCAGCTTGGCACAGCTGACTCTCAGGGACTGTCCCCTGGCTGATTTATAGTTGCTGGCCAAGATGTTTTGACAGCTTCATAGGACTGTGGGCAAGCTGCAGTCCCCACAGTCACCCAAAAGCTTCCTTGCACTTGGCTCATCCCCTTAGCAGTTTGGTGTGGGCACATCTTGGTGTGGTTTGTGGTGCTGGGATGTAGAGGTGCAGCTGGAGCTGGTCTTGCATTCAGGAGCATTGGCCAGTTTGCTTTAATGGGAACAGAAAGGATGGAGCTTATCTTGGCTGAGACCCTCTGAGTTGGTTTGGGAATATGTAACTGGAGCACTGCATGAATGGCAGTTGTGGGGGTCCAGGAGCTGGGAAGGGGAAAGGTGAGGGAGCCCCCGGGCCATTAAGGCTATTTGTGCCCTCTTTGTTTACTCCCATCAAATGCAGCCATCGCTGTCATCTCTATCAAGGAGGTTGCAGTTTTCTTTTGCTCAAGCCGGCTCAGATGCTTGCCCTTTTAGGAAAATGGCTTGCTGGGCTTGTCAGGTCTGGAGAAAACCTGATGCTGGTTCAGGTTTGAACCCATTCTGGCATGACTTGGCTCTCTGCAAGCCTCTCACAGGGACTGTCAGTGTTCCTGGGGGTGTGGTGTGAGTGTCCCAGAAGGGAGCTGTGTCGCAGTGAGGGTGTCGTAGCCATCTCCTGGGAAATCCTCCTCCAGCCTCTGAGCTGTGCTGTGCAACCTGAGCTTTCAGCACAGCAGTGAGCAGCCTTTGAACCCTCAGGGCCTGCTCTGCACAGCCAGGAGAAAAAGTCTCAAACAGGGATCCAAGGAGGTTTGTCTTCCTGACTTTTCTGTACCCAGAACAGTACAGCTGAGCTGTCTTCTGATGAAAAGGTTTTTGGAGATGGCTTTTGGCACCACCACCTACAGCTGGCAGCAGCTGGGAACCCATTCCTTGTTTAGCTGAGCTGTTTATCTTCAAACCTCATAACCTCACAGGACCAATACTGGGATGTGAGTTGGTGACTGACCCCAGGTGCCACTCATTTTTCCCTCCCCATCAGACCTAACTCCTCCTGTGGCCACAGGTGAGTCAGTTCAGCACTCAGCTCACACCAGATTAGTGGCTGTGTTGGAACAGGCTGCTGGGCAGGTTCATCTGCAGGTGTGACTGGGACATGGGGTACACAGAAGCTGTGGAAGTTCATGGGCAGGCTTAGCAGCACCGTGCCATCCTCTGTACAATTTAGAACCACCTCCTTGAGGACACAGGGCTGAAACAGCTCAATTTAGTGCAGCCTGAACTGTGGGACTGTCACCTCTTGATTTGCACCAGGCTGGGCTTGAGCTGCCTGTGGCCTCCTGGGCTGCAGCATAAACCTCATGTGCCCACAGGGTCTTTATGGTCAGGAGGATTTTTGGAGTTAAACCGGTGTTGATTTAATGGCTTTGCAAGGGTCCCTTTGACCGGCAGCTTTGTGATTTACAGAGGGAATGGGAATTGGTGTGGTTTTCCTTCCTCCTTACGAGGTCAGTGGTTCTGTGATCCCTTTCCTGCCTTTTAGCAGAGGTGACTGTGCATGGAGCCACTGTTAGCAGCTGAGAGGACATGGGAGAAGTGGAATTTGGTGTAGGCCTCAAGAACCATCTCTCAGCTGGTGCACACATACTCCCCTCCTTCAGCTCTGCCTTGGTGACACTGGTGGTGCTGTGAAACAGCTGCATGTTCCACGGCTGGGAGCACAAGTGGGATGTTCATTGAGCTGGAAAGGTCTCTGAACCACTGGAAAAGCTTTCAGGGGAAAAAATCCAAATGTATTTTATAGCAGCTTTTTAGGAGCCTGCTTTCTCACCCCCCTTGCCCAGCTCTTGAAAGCACATCAGGGCGATGCCAAATCTCTCCAGCACTGCTCTGGGAACTTACCTGGAGCATCACCAGCATTGCAGCCCTGAGGGGAATGTGTGGCTATTGCCAGGGAAGGAGCCAAGGAGTTCTGGAGAGGTGGCTGTGGGTTTGAGCTGCCTGTGGGGCAGGGGGCTTCCAGCCTGGTGACATTTTCCTAACATCCCCCCTGTTTCTCACCTGCAGAGCTCTGACAACATCCCCCCAGGCTACGAGCCCATCTCGCTGCTGGAAGCGCTGAACGGCCTTCGCTCGGTGTCGCCCTCCATCCCCTCGGCCCCTCTGTACGACGAGATCAGCTACTCCGGGGTGGTGGACGGGATGCCTCCCACCAGCCGCCCGCTCGTAGCCATGGACAGAGCCCTGGAGGGTGGCCACCAAAAGGGCAAGTGCAGCAAGTCTCCAGACAGGTCAGCAGAGCACGGGGCCCACTCCTCATGCAAGCCCTGAGGCTTGGTGGCCACACGTACTGGGAGTCAGGACACAGACCTGGCTGGTCCCATCACTGCTAGCAGAGCTAACTCAGAATTTTAGGAGGCCAACAGCTACTTGTGCCAGGGACATTGTCCCTGTGTTCAACCTGAGGTTACAGCTTGTGTCTCCTAAGGGCTGGTTTTGTCACACAAAGAAAGAGGATTTTTAACAAGGAGAATTTCATCATAGAATCACAGAATGGTTTATGTTGGAAAGGGCCATAAAACTCATCTCATTGCAACCCCTCACTGACAGACACCTTCCACTATCCCAGGCTGCTCCAAGCCCTGTCCGACCTGCCCTTGGACACTTCCAGGGATCCAGGGGCAGCCACAGCTTCTCTGGGCACCCTGTGCCAGGACCTGCCCACCCTCACAGGGAAGACTTCAGTTGGAAATGTCTCCTTCCCAGTGCACTAGAATTTACATTTCATGTCCAAACCTTACTGGATTTCAGCTTTCCATGGAATTCCTCAGGAGCAAAGGAATGGGGAGAGGAGTGACCTGGATTTCAGAGCACAGAGTGCTGAATTGAGATCCTATAGTTCTTGTCTGAAGGCTCCTCTGTTGGCCCTGTGATGGAGGGTTTAGGTGAGGATAGGAGCCTGTTCAGATCAGACCAAACTGGGTTTGTTCCTGGCACTCCTCACTGTACTCCAGTCCAGATTTTCAGCTGGGAAGGGAGCCCTGAAAGTGTGAGGAGCAGCATGGGACCTGGGCCTCTTGTTGCTGTGCTGAAGTTCGGCACCACTTGGCTCTGTCCCACCCTGCTGCTGCTGTTCTCCATTTGGCCAATACTGGAGGCCCTGGCGAATTCAGCTCCCCAGTCTGAGCTCACGAGAGTTGGCTTGTGCTGCCCCCAAGTCCTCCAGGCCCCAGGGTGCTGGCAGCTCCCTGCAAATGGAGTTTCTCTTGCTGCAGCACACTACGGTCTCCCTCATCCCCAATCCATGAGGAGGATGAGGAGAAGCTCTCCGAGGACTCGGACTCTCAGGCGGTGCTGAGTGGGGGTGAGCTGGTCCTGAGGGAGACCAGCTCTCCAGAGGTAAGTGTGTGCTTTGCTGTGGGACTTCTGAGCCAGAGCTCTTCTGGGGGGGCTTTGGGGATATGTGAAGTGCCTCCTGAAGGGCCATTGCCTGGAGCCAAGAGTCTTGGCTGCTTTATTTACCCCTAGGGCTCCATGGGGAAGGATGTAGCCACTCCCTGTGTACCTGACACCTCTTTGGGAGTGGAAAACCACTCAGCTGGAGCCATGGCAGAGCTGACCTTCCCCAGCATCCTGGGCAAGCCCAGCAGTGTTTGGGGCAGGGGTGGGAGCTGGGCCTTAGGAGCTTCCAGTGCCCATTGCTGCTAAGACCCCTCCATCCCAGCCTGTGGTGCTACAGCACTGGAATAGTCCCCTGTTCCTGCCTTGAACAAGGCCTGGCCCTGAGCACAGCTTCCTGGAGAAAACCAGAGCAGGAGAATGGCACAGCAAAGGCCTCCAGCTGCAGAAGTAACCTGTGCTGTCTCTCCTTACAGAGCGTGGCAGGGGAAGAGATGGAGGAGGCCTCATCCATGCAGCAGGGTAGGTGTGGGTGCAGCCAGACCTCGGCTCGGTGTTCAGTGCTGTTGTGGTGGGATGGGGACAACTGGGGAAGGAACAAATGAGCTCAGAAACATCCAGCCCCCTGAGTCTATCTCTGAGGCTCTGATCTTCACCAGGGAAAGGTTCTGGGGTCTTGGAGGTGAGGGAGCAAAATCCATGGGTCTCCTTGGTTTATTTGCCAAGCGTCTCACCTTGCTCTGAGCTTTACTCAAGTAGAGTTTTCTATGCCATGAGCTCTCCTTGCACCAGTGAGGATGCTACTGGGGTCCTGGTGAGAGCACATCCACAGTACTGGACACCAGAATGGGTGTCTGGGATGGCTCTCTGGTGCTCAGTCAGCACCCAGAGGGCACAAGGTGAGAGAGGAGTGGTGGGCACGTTTTGGGCCACGAGGCTGCACGTGAAGAGGTGGCACTGTGACCCAGGCCAGTCCAACTCCTGGGACATCAGTGGGGCTGGTGGGGCCTGGGGAGCTTCCTCATGTGGAAGACCTCGACCCACCCTGGCCGTGAGCGCCCGTGGTCCATGCTGAGGGCTGAGGGGCCGCACTCTGGGCTGGTTCCAGGTAGCCGCCCGCCCTCGGTTGAAGATGTGCTGCAGGATGGCGGCTGCGGCGAGAGCCGGAGCCTGACGCAGTCCGAGAGTGACCCCCCAGTTGACGTCTTCCTGCCAGGTAACGGCCGCGCCGTTGGGGCCGCAGCTGCCTCCGTGGCTCCAGGGCTGGGGGTGTGGGGAGCAGTGTCCCACAGCCCTAGGATGGGACTGGAACGCTCCTGCCTGGTGCACGGGCTCCACTTCGTCCCAGTGGGCAGAGTGAGCGCTGGGCAAGGGGGGCTTATTCAGAGGTAGCTTGGTCCCCCTTCTCTCTCTTGCTCCCTCACCCTTGTGTCTCTGTCCTTCCCCTCCTTTCTTCTCTTTGGGCCTCAGTCACTCCCTGACACAGTTCTGTATGACAAAGGCCTCCTGTGTGCTCCCAAATGTGCTCCTGCTTTTGGGTGAGGGAGGGGAACCACCTGGGCCAGGGGACTGGGGCAGTGTTGTCATGGTGGGGAGGGTCCCCATGTGCCACGCCCATGGGACACTGTGCTGTCCTCACCTCTCACTGTTGTCATTGCAGCCTGTTTTCTTCCGTAGAGTCGCAGTCTGTTCTGAGTTACCTCTCTAATGTCTCCTTCCCTCTCTGTCTGCCTTCCTCCCTCCTGTCTTGGGCAGCACTGGGTCCTGATTCCTGCTCTGTTGGTATAGAGGAGTAAGCTGGTACGTCTTCTCGTTCTTCTTACGCATCCCTGTTGTGTGGGGCAGCAGGGCCCTCCTGGGAATGCTGGCAGAGAGTGGGGATGGGGCTGGTCCTGGCCATCGGGGCAGCAAACCAGCCAGGCTGCACCGCTGGCTCTGTCCTCACTCCCTTCCCATTTCTGGCACAACATCCCTGCTACCCCTGAGTGCCAAGACACCAGGCAGGGCAGCAGAAACCCTTCCCCACTGGTTTCTGCTGAGCGTGGGCTCTGCTGCCTCCTGGACACCACAAACACCCAGGCCCCTGCTGGCTTCTCCCAGGCTGTGGCAGACAGTGTTCCCCCTCAGTGTCCTGTGTCCCACGCGTGACACTGAGTCTGCATCTGAGGGGACGAGTGCTTAGCTCCAGCCCCATCTCCCGTGGTCAGTCCAGGGCAGGAGGGACGGCTGAGCACCCAGCCACGGCTCTTTGCCTCAGGGCTCCCATTACTGAGGCTGAACTCCATCTCCTCACCCAGGCTCGTCCGACTTCAGCAAGACGCTCCCCGTCCGCGGCACCGGCAGCCCCACGCAGCCCCTTCTCTTCGAGCAGACCCGTCTGCACCTGGAGGACGAGCAGAGCCTCTCGTGAGCGGGGCCGGACCCTGCCCGTGCCGCCGGAGCCCGGAGCCCGGCCGGCTCTCCCGGGGACGCAGCGCGGGGTCTCGCACCGACGCGGTTTCGGCACAGCCTGTGCATGTTTCCTGGCGGTGGGTAGGGGCTGGTGTCGTGTTTTTACATGGGAGGTGTCTGTGGGGCCGGGGCGGGGGGTTTGGGGTTCGAGTCGGCAGATGAAGGACACTACCGATGTATATTTTGTACTTACCGAGCACAGCCCTTTGCTGTCACTGCCCCTGTACATAGCTGTGGCCCTCCCTGCCTTGCCGGGGCGCAGGGCTCCGCGGGAGCGGGGGAGAGCGGGGGCCAACCCCGGCTCACCCCGAGGCAGGGGGGGACGCGGGGATCAGCCCCGTCCCAGCCCGTTCGGGGTGACCCCCGCGCCCCTCGGTCCCGCAGAGCCCGGCGCTGCCCACGCCGTGTGCCTTGTTCTGCTTCTGCGGGGGGTCCCGGGGCACATCCCCCCCACCTCCCCGTCTATGTTTGTAGTAATAAACCCGTGGAGCAGCCACGCGAGTCCGTGTGCGCCGGGGCAGCCGGGGGGAAGAGGGGGGGCTCGGGCTGGGCGGGGGGAGGGCGGGACCTGGGGGGGCCGGAGCCCTGTGGCGAGGGGGCGGGGCCAGGGGCTGAGTGCCCGTACCGGGCTAATGCGCAGGAGGCGGGGCCAAACTGATGGGGCGGGGATTGTGCTAAGGGGCGTGGTCTATGCGTAGTGGGCGGGGTCGCGCGTTCCCGCCCCCGCCTCCTTCCCGGCGTGCTGTTCGGCGCCCCTCCTTGCCCCCGCGCTTCGCTGCGATTGGCCGCGCGTGCCGCCGGCCCCCGCGCGCGCCGCTGCCCTAATAAGGCGAGCGGCGCGCGCAGCACGCCCGCCCCTCATTGACCGCCCGCCGGCTGCCCCGCCTCTGGCTCGCGCGGGGATTGGCGGGCATCGCCGGGAGCCCATTGGCCCTGTGGCGCGCGGCGCGCTCCCATTGGCTGAGGCGGCCGTCGGTCCCGCCCTCGCGGCGCCGTGGGCGCGGCGCATGCGCGGAGCGGGTGGCGGTGGCGCGAGGCGATGGCGGCCGTGGGGACGATGGCGGCCATGGGCCCGCTGCCCGCCATGGGCGCGCTGCCGCCTCTGCCCACGCTCGGCGTGCCCGGCGTGCCCGAGCTGAAGCCGCTCACGCGGTACGAGGCGATGCGGCTCGGCCCGGGCTGGAGCCACTCGTGCCACGCAATGCTGTACGCGCCCAACCCGGGCATGCTGTTCGGCCGCATCCCGCTGCGCTACGCCGTGCTGGTGAGGGGCGGGCGAGGCCGCGCCGGGCCGGGCTTGGGATCAGGGCGGCGGTGGCGGGCGGGCCCTCGGGCCGGGTCGGGGCGGACTGGGCTGGGTCGGGCCGCGGGCTCCGGGGGCGGCGGGCTGAGGGGCGGTGGCTCCGCGGTAGTTCCCGTGCAGGGCGGTAGGATCAGGCCGGACCCGAGCTCAGGGGGGAGCCCCCGGGCCCGCGGGCTCGTCCGGCCGGGGCGGAGAGCCCCGGCGGCCGGGCCGCTGTCGGTGAATGGTCCTGGATGCGCCGGAGCTGCTAGGGCCGCGACGGAGCGGCCGCGACGCCTCCCGCGCTCCTCCGGCTCCTCCGGAGGCCTCCGAGACGCCCCCTCGCCCCCCGTCGGGGGCCGCGCCGTGCCCCATTAACACCCTGCGCCTCTATTGCAGATGCAGATGCGATTTGACGGACTGCTGGGCTTTCCCGGGGGGTTCGTGGATCGCCGTTACTGGTCCCTGGAGGACGGTCTGAATCGGGTGCTGGGCTTGGGTTTAGGCTGTGTGCGCCTGACGGAAGCTGACTATCTGTGCTCGCACCTGACAGAGGGGCCACATCGCGTGGTGGCACACTTCTACGCCAGGCAGCTCACCCTGGAGGAGCTGCACACCATCGAGATCAGCGCGGTGCATTCCCGAGACCACGGGATGGAGGTGGGACACCCGGGAGGGGTGTGCGAGCTCTCAGTTAGCCCAGGGAAGGCACCGCTTCCCTCCTGGGTCTGCCGGGCTGCCCTGGCCAGCCCGGCCGGGGAATGCACCGCAGGTAGAGCTGCCGGCGGCAGGTGCCCGCACCGCCCGTGGCATCGGCGTTAGGAACTGTGGTCAGGGTCGTGCCACAGGCTCCAGAGCATAGCAAGCTTGAGCTCCAGCTTTTCCTGGTGTCCACCCACGCAGGGATGAGCCCCGTGTTACCGCTTGGCCTCAGGATGTGGGCGAGGGCCGTTTGCAGCTGGGGGGGATCTCCCCCTGCCCTGGGCTGAGTGCCCCGGACTGGATCGTGACCTCGGTGTGGTGATGTCGCTGTGAGCCGAGTTCCTCCCGTGCGGGAGGCACCTTCCTGCTCCCGGGCAGCCAAGTCCGGCTGATGGCCGGGGCAGAGCGCGAGAGCCAGGGCCTCCCCGCGCGCCCCCGGGGCGCTCGGTGGGTGTCGGCAGCCATGTGAGCAGAGGCAGCGGGCTCTGGGTTGTGGCCTGGTTGAGGGGGACTCATGGGTCAGCCGTGGTGTCCCCACGCAGGGCAGGGCTGGAGGGGAAAGTGGGACTCCCCATAGTGGCCTGGGGCAGCGGGATCCCTCCAAAGGGGCAGAAGGGGGAGCAGAGCCAGGGCTGGGCAGGGAGAGCAGGGACCTGGGAGCGTTTGGGAAGGCATTGTAGGGGCTTGGTGGGACTGAGGGCAGGCAAGGGCTGGGGCTGGTGTGGGAGGAACAGGACCTGGCACTGGGGCAGGGTGAGCCTGGGCCAAGGGCTGGCGGGCACTGGGTGAGGGTGTGGGGCAGAGGGGGTGCGGGGTGGGGGGGATGGTGCTGCCGTGGCCCCTGCTAAGATGTGCCCGTGCTGTTGCAGGTGATGGGCATGGTCCGTGTCCCCCTCTACACCCAGAAGGATCGCATGGGCGGGCTGCCCAACTTCCTGGCCAACTCCTTCGTAGGAACCGCCAAGTTCCAGCTCCTGTTTGCCCTGAAGATCCTGAACATGGTGCCGGAGGAGAAGCTGGCCGAGGCAGTGGCTGCCACACAGAGGCCGAAGAAGGCTGCCATCGACCACACCGGAGGGGCAGCAGGACACCTGGCTGCCCACAAGGCGGGCAACGAGCTGGCTAAAGCGGGCAATGAGCTGGGAGAGAGGGCAGAGCACCCAGGCATGGTGCACGCGGGGGCCGAGCAGCAGCTGGTGGGGCTGGAGGGCCAGGCCCTGGCGGAGCAGCTGGCGGGGGCCGAGGCACTGGAGCAGTCAGTGGGGCTGGGTGCTGATGCTGTGGCGGAGCAGGCGGTGGCCGAGGTGATGGAGTGATGCCGCCGTGTTGGCGCTCAATTAAAAGTGGGTGAGCTGAGAGACTTCTAACTTTCCGACCCGTGGCTGGCTGCAGTGGCTGCCCACGAGATCCCACTGCCCAGCCGGGAGGGGTTGGGTTTGTCTAAAGCAGGGAAAAGCAATTTTATTTTTATGGCCATTAAACTCTTAGCGAGCTTCCCAGATCAACCTGCACAGCCCCTGCAGAGAGTTCATGTGCTTATGTGAGAGCGCCAGAGCCTTAGAATTGCGCTTTGATTTCAGGGACACACTGCTGCTGTCAGGTCCCCCTTTCGTTTGTAAGGAACAAAACATCAAATTTTTTAAATGCCCCGTCTTGACTTAGATGTGGCTGTGTTGGCTTTGGGCACAGCTGAGGCCTGGGGCTTTCGGTTAAGCACCTCTGCCCATGATAGTGACCAGGCTCCCACTCGGGGTGTTGGCACAATGGGGCAGCTGTGCCATGAATTCCCTCTGGGGTGTTGGGGATGCTCATCATGTGGGTCCCTATCTGGAGATCTGTGGGAGAAGGAAAGTGGAATAAATGGCTTTGCTGAAAGTTTAACACTCGGGATTGTTCTTGAGGGCTGGTCTGGAGCCAGTGGGCACCCAGAGCGGGGCAGGTGCAGGGTCGGGGAGCACAGAGGCCAGAGGTGAAGGGCTGGAGCCACGGGTGGCAGGAGAGGTGTGGGCTGACTCAGGTGCTGCACCACTACAGCTCCTGAGAGTTTGGGTTGCTCCAGAATGGCTTGTGCTCCCCCAGGCTCCAGGCTGGGAGCAGCTTGTCCCAGGTGTAGGAGGGGCCTTGGTCTTGGCTGAAGTGGGGACAGCCAGTGAAGAGCCCAGTGCTGCAGCAGCACATGGCCCCATCCATTTCAGCAGAGCCTTAGGAAAATCCACCCATCCTGCAGGACTGTTGGAAGGGCAGGCTCAGCCCTGGAAGAGCTGCTTCCTGTTCCCTGTCCCCCCTCTACCTGCTCCAAGCTCATCCCTGGCCTGGAGCAGGAGCAGCTCCCCCAGGATCCCCCCCAGCCCCATAGAAAAGGGTCTGTGGTCACCCTGCCATGGGGCAGAGAACAAGCAGCTGGTCACAGGCGGATTCTCTGCAGGGACAGACAACTCAAAAAAGAGGTTTGGTTTAATTGAAGACATTTAGCGAGAGGTTGTTCAATAAATAATGGGCTAAGGTGGGGACAGGGCTGACACCTCAGGACACGGTGACAGGAGGACACACAGACCAGTCACAGCTCTCTTGGGATGTGTACTTGGAGTACTGGAGTTGGATTGTGTAAGGGGCAGGAGAGAAACGGGACACAGACACACATCAGCCCCAGGCAGTCAGGAGAGAAGAGCTTCATTCTGGTCCAGAGAAAGCAAGTGCTGAGAAAAACCAGGGGCTTGGGCTGCTAAAGAAACTCTCAACTAACAGATGTGTTAAGTGAAAGTGGATAAGAAAAAGTACCCCAAACTGGTAACAACTGAGGCTGGAAAGGTGTCAGGGGCCCTGAGGAAGCACTGGGGCTGGGGGAGGAGCTGCCTGCCCAGTGCTACCCACACTGCTGAACAGAGACATCACACAGGATGGAAGAGGCCCACTCCAAGGGCAGCCCTGGCCTCTTGGGGCTTGATGGTGTCAAAGGCTGGACTTTCCATCAGTGCTCTGTTTGACTCTTCATGAACACCTCTGTACCTTGTCTTTGAACCCCTGAAGGAGCAGCACCTCCCAGAACAGCCTGGTGCTGCTCAAAGACACCAAACGTGCCAGCCCCTGAGGCTGCCTGCTCTCCAGCCTGGCACTAGTCACAGCAACTCATTTCCTGCGTCCTTTTATTACTGAACTCCCACCCAGGGCCTTAGTTACTGACAGGGCTTTCTGTGCCCATCCAGGCTGCAAGGTCATCATGTGCTTGTTGGCTCTTCTAAGGCCCAGCCCAAGCCCTGTGTCACCCCCAGGTCCTGCCAGAGCTGGCAGTGCCAGCCCATCCCTGCTCTGGCATGGATCCCTCTCCTCCAGTCCCAGTTAAAAAATGAGGTGGGAATAACATGGTGCTGAGAGGGGAAGAGCCTTGGCCAGGGAAGGGGGATTTTCCATGAGAATGTAGCAGGGCTCCCGGCCTGGCTGCAGCTCTGGGGCCTCCACGCAGGCTGCACATGAGCTGCTCAGTCCAGCCAGAGGGTCCTGCAGCCAGGACACAGGCAGCCAGCGAGAGACTGCCCAGCACAGCCCAAAGCACGACACTGAGCAGCTGGGGGATCTTCCTCAGCAAGGAAACGCTGTCGTGATCTGTGCACACATCCCATCCCTCGAGAGCCCGCGAAGTCCAGCCTGGTGCTAAGGATGGGGAGAAGGGCTCAGGACCAGACTCTACACTCCAAGCTCCCTTCCCCTGCTACATTCCATCCTGGACAAAGGCAGAAAGATCTATACAGTATAATACATATATATTTCACTATGAAATAGCAATTTCATTCCCTGCCTTCTACTTTATGCATCCTGAATTATATAGTTCTTTGTACATCACTCCAGAGGGCTGGTGGGGCTGGGTAGTTTCTCATGCGAGGCAGTTGCTCTCCCTGGAAGTTACCCACAGGACACACCAGAAGCTGATGTGGCAGGACCTAAACATGATTCCCATTCCCTCCCTTTCCCCTCCCTCAGCCACCCCCTTCCCCAGCAACAAGGGCAGACTCTGCCCTGGCAGTCGGGGCCTGCCAGGGCTCTCCCAGTTGATGAAAGTGGTTCCTCAGTGCGGATCCATGAACCTCCCTCAGCTGCTCTCAGCAGCTGTGGATGGAGCGGGAGCAGCAGCTGAGCCCTCGACACCCCGGCTGTGGGGAGGAGCAAACCGGGGCAGGGAAGTGGCGGGGACAGTGCAACATGCACGGAGTGGTGACAGCGAGAGCCCGCGGCTGCGGCACGGCCAGGCCCACCCAGCCCACGTGGGGCTGCAGCCCCAGGGTGGAGTTCTACCAAAGGTCAGTCCCTGCGGAGCAGGGAGTCCCATCCGCGGGCTGGGTCACCGGCCAAGAGCTGTCATCACTGGAACCAGTGCAGAGCCAGGTGTCAGGTGGAAGGAGAAACAATCCTATGGAAAGAAAAGAGGGCAGATGTTTTAGGGAAACACTTAGGGAGAGTGTGCTGGGCAGCCACTGTCCTGGAAACGTCAGACACGTGCAATGGCACTGGCAGGAAATGGGGCTTCCAGTTACTGTGCTGGGACTTTGAGGGCTCATGCACTGCTCCAGCAGCTGGGAAAAGGAAAGGACAGCAGGTTCCACCTGCTATTGGGGTTTGGGCTCAATTAAACAAGGTCAGAGCTTGATTTCCCTTCAAATGAAACCAGCAGGAGCTCAGCTGCTGTCTGGAGCTGGAGCATAGCCATGCCCACACAGCTTCCACAGCAGCAGGACAAGGATCCAAGATCTCAAGATTCACTCCAGGATCTCTGTCACAGGACAGTGGCTGTGGCAGGGAAGGGAGCTGTCCCCAGCACCCACCTGTGCTTCCTGTGCACCCCCAGTCCGTCACATTGTCCGGCTGTACTCGATGCTGCTCTTGGCAGAAATGCCAGACCAGGGCAGGAGGCTGCAGAGGAGGCTCTGGGCTTGTCTGTATATCCTCTGGGGAATGGAGCATGGGCTCAGGCTGGCTAGTGTGGAGCCAATGTGCTGTAGGTAGTCAGTGGCCACCAGTTAAGGACAGAAACACTTACACTGTAACTTAGCAAAGAACATAAATCGCTCCTGGACCTGCCCTGCCTGCAGGGACCCCTGACACAGTGGAAGCTGTTCAGCCCAGTCACATCTGCTCCTTGCAATCATTGCCTCCACCTTTCTACTAACAGGAGATTTGCTCTGCCCTGTAAAGGATGGCAATTTGGAAATGGCAGCTCCAGCTTGTGTGGGAAATACCTCCCCTAGGCAGCTACCAGTTCCCTTTGCACTCCACAGAAAATCCTGTGAGGATAGCAATCCATCCACCTGCCCAGGAAGGTTGGAACTGACCAGCTACACCCAGGAAGGATCAAGTTTCTTCTCCATGATCCATTGACCCAAAACAAACCCCCTAAGTCAGTGTGGGAGGAGCCTGCTGAGATCCAGGCCAGCCCAGGCTCACAGGGGATCCCAGGTCACAGGAACAAAGACCACAGGTTTCTCTGCCCTGTTCCTGGCCAAATCCTGCACCCTACAAGCCAAAGCACACCCAGCACTTTGGCCTCACACCAACACTTGCTCTCACTGGCATCCAACGTGCTCCAACCATCCTACATCAAATAACTCTAACAGCCCCTTCCTTCCAGCTCCAGATTAAACCCACATGTGAGCAGGTTTCAGTTCCCATATAACTTTGCTGTTGTTAACCCAAAACAGGGTTTGCCTCTGCTCAGCAGCCTGCAGGGAAAGGATATAAGATTGTCCAGGGTGGGTGCCCACCGTTGATGTACAGGACGTAGGTGAAGCCATCTTTGAGGACCCCTCGGATGGAATAGTAATAGGGGAGATAGTGGTGCTGTTTAAAGTCTCTGTTTTCATAGAAGTTTATTGCTGTGTTGTTGGTGGTGAGCACGTGCAGGTAGATGGCTTTGCAGTGGTCCTGGGCAGTGGTGGAAATGTGATCTTTCAGACTCTCAAGCAAGAGGGAACCTGTTGAAGGGAAGGCAGCAGGATCACAGTGTGTGTGCAGCCCCAGGGACCCTCAGTGTGAGGGTGTGTGGGGCCCAGCTGAGCCCTCCTGCACCAGGATTGTTCACCAGGGATTGCAGCACACACCTGGAAACCCCAAATCCCACCCAGTTCTCACAGGACCTTCCTACATGGTTTTCATACATGGTCTCACCTATGAGCACGGCTTCAAAACCCAGAGGTTTTAAAGATACAAACCTCTGACTCAATAACCACAAGGATGAGGCAGAACCTTGACAATAGTGTCCATCCCCAGCAGAGCAACTCCTGGCTTTGGGGAAGGTCAGTGACTCATTTTCAATGGTATAAGTTCCACCCCTTACATGTATTTATTTGAAAGCCATTTGATACAGCAGAGTGTCAAAACAGGACTTCACAAGCAGGTTATTGTTTTGTGTCTGCTGAATTTGAATCAAAATCTAAGAACTGCTGGAATTTTAAGATGCCATGTAAGGAGGAGTGGAGACAGTCTCATCCAATCTGGATTTACTGCAGCCAGCAGGAAAAACCAGAGAAGGGTACAGAGGATACTCCAGCCCCAAGAGGCAAGACCGGGGGGTTTATCCACAAAACCTCAACATGGCTCGAAGGACCCAGCAGAACCTGCATGGAAACTTCTTCCAGCAGGTGTGGTAACACCAGGCTAAAGAACCAGCCTGGATGACACACAGGAGAGATGGCTGCTGCTGTTTCACAATCCCCAGAACCTGGAGGACCCACAGGATTTCAGAGCAGAAGTCAACAGCACTGACTTCATGTTCTCTTGATACGTAGTGAGAATATGTATTAGCCAAGACAAAAAACCACTGAGACATCGACAACAGAGCAGTTCAATTTTGTTATGAGATATTCCAGTCCTCTACCTCACAGAAATGCAGCTGTCCTGTGGTTAAAGAACAGCAGAGAACTAGAAACTGAACCCTTTTACAAAAATCAGAGGAAAATCAGAGCTTTAGTGCTAAGAAGCATGGCTGGAGTGAAGAGCCTCCTGCATGAAAGGCTACAGCTTCAAACACCACTAGAAAGACTCAACACAAAGACCTCAGAAAAAGCAGCAGCAGCTTTTTTTAGGTTGTGTTGCTACAGGTGCAAGCTCAAAGTTTTTGAGAGAGGACAGCAACACACTGTGCGGATGGAATGGATACAGGAAATACTGACTTTGAAAGGAGAAAATTCCAGCAAGATGGGACTGGGAAAAAAAAAAAAAAGATTTGGAAATTAGGAAGTGACTGAAAACTACCACAATTTTACAGAAAGACCTCTGTACCACCCTCTGTGATAATTCTGTGCTACCACTTTCTTCTTTGTAGTAGAAAATTCTCTCCAGTGGCATTTTAATGGAAGGTTTAAACACTGCTCTCACCAAGGACTCTGTGGTAATTTATTTGTTTATCCTCCAAGTTTAGACCTCTCCAAACATGCCTGGGGGAGAAGGGAGGACTTGGAGATGCTGAGTTATACCCATATCCACTGAAGGGACTCCAGGTGTGCACCCCTGGGTCACACTGCCAAACCTGGCCCATTCTCTTCTGCAGATCAAAGATCCACATCCTGCCAGAAGAGCAGCACTGGGTGACAGAACACAACTGCTCTAAACAGACAGAAAGCCCTTCTGGCTCCAGGATTTCAAATGGCTGTAGGAATGTGGCAACAGACATTCAGAGCTCACTTGTACATTTGAGATCTAATCAGGCACAAGTTACTATTTCCAAGTTCCCTTTGTGGTTTTCTCACAGTTTGTTGTAGCTGTTGAAGCTGAAAGATTAAAAGCATCTCTGTTTTCTTCCTCAGGGATCAGACCCAGATACCCAGAAAGAAAATAATTTCAAACCCTGCTTCTGGGTGAAGTTCTTACACTTTCAGACAGTCTCAGCAGCACTAGTGTGAGTTTTTGGAGTGCTCAGCAGGCCCCTGGGAACAAAGCTGACAAAGGCTTGTACTCTTTGGAAATATTTGCACATTGTGCCACACCAGTAAAAACTTCCCCGTGGACCTGCACTATCCCACCTGCTGGTACCAGTGTCAGGTAAGCCTTTCCCACAGGGACACTGCAGGGAGATTCTGGAGCTCCTTCAGTCCCACCCACTGGGCACACCTGGTAAACAACACCAACAGCTGGCACTTTGCAGCATCTTACCTATTCCATGTTTTCTGAACTCCTTCACCACTCCAAGACTTAGGATGTAAGCAACTTGAGTGTCCACAGGAAAGTTGGAAGCTAGGATATCTCCATCCTGTGTAGAGATAGGACAGGTTATTAAATATTAAATGGGGAGGCACAGGAGAAAGCAAGAACCCTATACTGGAACATCTGAAAACAAGGCTAAAGCAGGAAATTTCTCTTCACTCAACAGTCTTAGCTGAAGCTTTTGGAATGGAAGGAAAATATCCAAGCATGGAGCTACTCCTATTTTCATACCATCCTCCCAGAGGCAGAACACAAACCATGCTATTACCTACCTATGTACATTATTTGTGGGTTTAGGGACAGAACAGCCTTACTTTCTTTACCAGAAGGATTCAAAGTGCCAATTCTGGAGTCACCCAGCAGTGTTTAGATCAACCCAGCACGTCCTTGTGGCCTGCAAGCTTCACCTGAGCTGTGTCAGCTGGAGATCTCTGCACAGCTGGGGAGGACAAGAAGCACATTCCACAGGCCCAATGGCCCAGAGCAGTGCCTGAATAAGCCTTTGGCTTTCATGAAGCTTGGCTGGAACAAGAAATTGCTGAAGATGCAGCTTCTGACTTTGATGAGCTTTGAGATGAAGCCAGACAGCTGAGGTGAAGAGACCCATGTGCTACTCTGTGCTCTTGGCTCGTGGGCACGTTGGGATTATTCTTTAACCACAACACTGAGGGCCTTCCAGGAGTTAGGTACTCCCTGCACTGCCCCTGCTTTTTTATTTTGTGCTCTTCTCCTGTGCTGTCTTCGCTGACCATCTCTTCTTTCCCTCTCTGCTGCACTGGATTGTCTCTCCTGGCCTCCAAGCTCTGGTATCTCTGAAGTCCAAGCTCTCTGCAGACAGGTGACCTCCCCTTGGGCTCAGGACAGGGACTGTGTAAAGGGAGGAGTTTCTGCAGGAAGTCACCAGAATGACTCACCCAGTACCGCTGAGGAAGCTCTTAAGAAAAACAGAGGTTTGTGGTCCCACAGCTACAGCAGCCATGGCCAGGGATTAGCCTGCAGGATCTGGTCCCTCAGCTCCCCATGGGGCCATGCCCCAGCAGGAAGAGCCTCAGTGATACCACACATCCACTGCTGCTCCAATAACTGGAAATCAGCAAGTGCTTAATTCCTTGCATTAACTCAGGATCAAGTGTCTGAAGAGGGGAGGGAAAAGCCCCACCCCAAACAGGTCCCATCCCCATTCCCCCCGGCAGGGGTGGGTTCTGTCCCGCTGGAGGCCAGGGTAGTCACACACCTCTTTGTGCACCTTTGTCCTGCTCTTGATCTCTGCCACGATCATCCCCACGATGGAGCCTCTGTATGTGGCTGCGAGGGAAAAGAACTTCTTGTTGGAAGTGATATCTCGGTACCATGAGTCAGGGTACCTGGGAAGGAACCAGAAACAGGAATGTCTGCAGATGCAAAGCCATGGGAACAGGCATGAGATGCTCCTCATCTGGAAACAGCTGTTGCATCCCATTTGGTGCCATGGGTTCTTTCCTCATATAATGGCTTCCTGCCTTGCTAAGAGATTCACATTTTCATTTTATAGTCTCTGCCCAGAGCTTTCACATCCATCTTTAGCAAGTTATTTTTAACTGCAAGATCCATCTGCCCTCATCTAAGAGTGTAAGGATCTCATTAATTTGATACACATGTAAAAAAAATGTTCCATATTGATAAGAGAAAAAAAAAATCACACCATCAGCCTCCAGGTCTCCTCCTCCTTCTGAAACTAAAGAGAAACTAATATATGTTCATTTATTTTCAAGTGAGATTTCAGCATGTCTTGCCTTTAAAAAAATCTACAAACTCAAAATATTATGAATGCTTTTGCTGATTTGTTCCATTTAATTCAACCTTAATTATAATCTGCTAGAATCCTCTATAAACCTCTGTGAAGCTAAAGTTAAAAATCCATGAAGTTTACAGCTGTGGTTTCCCTGGATACTTTAGGCCAGAAATCTGTCAATGTCCCACAGAAAAGCTCCTGTGCTTGTGCAGTCATGGGCATTTACCAAATGTGGGTCTGGGGAGCTGGCCTGGGCCAGGCTGAGATCAGCTTTAAACCAGACTATGGGAGGAACAGTGACCCAAGTACTGCTCAGTCCCCCCAGGAACAGCTCTGTGCCAGCTGGGTTCTGAGGGTGCTGTCCCAGCACCACACCCCAGGACACAATTTCACAAGCACAGGGATGCTCTTCTTTTTCCTGGAGGTGTCCTACTTTCCCCATCTCATTCAGTCTTTTTCAAGAAGCTGATCCATCCCTTTAATGACCTATTTTCCTGCCAAAATCCGCACACAGGAAGTTTCTGATGACTCCAGGACAGGCAGCAAAGGACCTTTAACAGCAACACCACCACAGTGCACAGAAGATTCCCAACCTGCTGCTGTCCTGGCAACAGCCCTGAGGCCGCACAGTTGGACCAGTGGGGGTTGACACCACTTGTCCCGATGTCCCCACCTGCCACCCCAAACCAGTCACATACTCTATTGGGAACCAGTCTCCACAGAGCTGTTTCACCGTGTCTATGTCATCGTGGCAGAGCAGGCGCAGGTTCACATCCGTCAGTGCAGTCGGGGGCACCTCCTCTGTCATTCACGCCTGCAAGGGAAGGAAGCACGAGAGGAGTGATGGAACACGGGCTCTGATCCAACAGCTCCAGGAGGGGCTTGCAGTGGATAAAGCTGCTTTTCCCAGAAAAGTCAGTTTTCAGGAGAGATGAAGCAAAACACGGCAACATTAACCTGAGAAGGATCTCAAAGCTGTGTTGGCCATGGGGCAAGCCCAGCTCTCAGCTCAGCCTGACCCATCCCTCCAGCCCCATATCCAGGCACATCTCCATCCCCAGGAGCACAGTCTGGTGACTCTGTGTGTGAGGAGCACGTGGCCACCAGCCCTTCCAAAAAGAGCATTAAATGAGCCAACAGTGTGCCAAGTGTACCTTATGTTGCATGGAGCTCTTCAAACGTCCATGCAGGACCAATGTTTTGTTAAAACAAAACTGAACAAACAGCTTAAAAAGGAAGCACTGCCAGAGGAATATTTAGAAAGTCCTCTTGCACAACCCTGCCATCTCCAGTGAGTACATTTGCAAAGGATTCCAACTCTTTAAAATATTCATTTTGTTCAACCTATGCTGGTGAAATGAGATCTAGTTCCACTTCCCCTCATTCCTGTGTGCCACAGCTCCTCCCAGCCCAGCACAGAGCGCTCAGATACAGAAATCCCAGGACACCTTTTCTCCATAGCCCTGCCACAATCTGCTGAGCACAAACAGAACACTTGCTGCAATGTCTTCAGCCTTTTTTAACAAGCACCAGAGGGAAAGAAGCAAGTGATAGCTAAAGTGGTTGTAAAAGCATTTGTAGCCCTGGGTGGATGACTGGAGAACACATTTTAGGCAGGACAAAGCCCCACATGAGACAGACAAGGTGAGTAGAGACAGGAGTAGTTGTTTCCTTCACCTCTCTCACTCTCTGACCCTCCCATGTAAAAGAACCAGACCAGGATGCAAATTTAAAAAACCAAAGCCACCACCCTTAACAAAAACAAATTACTTAAATTTTTTACTTTCTTTTCTCAGTTTTAAGAGAGAAAACTCAAGTCTTGGTTTCAAAGCGCCAATTTATAAGGGAACAGCTGCACAGAACAATTTTTGTGCCCTCCTGTGAAAAGGGATGCTCAGCTCTCCATTGTCCTTGATTTAAAGCTCAGAGCTCAAGGAAGAACAGATTTAAACACTCTCCCCATTGGACTGCATATGCCATTTGAGCAGCTTCAACACAAAAATTGTAACTGGCAAAGTTACAATTGCCAGTTTGGGTAATTTTAAGTTGCCACACTTACACTTCAGCAATTAATTGTACATTAATAAGTTGCTAAATGTACTTGGACAAACTGTCAGGCACATGCTGGGATTCCTGGGGTGTCCTGTGCAGGGCCAGGAGTTGGACTCAGTGATCCTGATGGGTCCCTTTCCTTCAGCATATTCTATGATTTTACTCTGCCAGTTACCGTCACTCTGTGCTGAAATGGATCATTTGTTCCTCTCCAAAGAATTCCTTAAAAAGCATCAAAGCTATTTCCCAGCCTGTTCCAGGACTGTGGCTGCATATTTACTGAGCAGCTCACAGCATTCACAGAGTCCAGGCACCAGTTTCAAAACAACTTAAGCACCTACAAAACCTGCACTCCTTGGTGCCTTTAAAACTTCCTTTACGCTTCCAGAACTGGCTCAAGCCCTCAGAGGCCGGGCTTGGAATCTGTACCCTGCACTTGCTCCCCACCCCCAGCCTCCGGTGACCTTTTAAGAAGCCTCAGCTTCACCCCATGGGACCTCGAAGAAGGAAAGGCAAACATTTTCTGGCTGAGGCTCATCTGATTCACACCACTGGGTCTGGATGATGAGGACCCCAGTCTCACACCCCCCCAGCCCTGCTGAACCCTTTGTTGAGCCATTTCAGAGCTGTGACACACCACAGGATCATTTTTCTTGCAAAGTTTCAATGCTCCTGTAAGGGAACACCCCTTCTCAGCATTAATAAATCAGAGAGAAATGAAACCACCGTGCCAGAGCCATGGTTTTGCTAATGAGCAGGCACTGCTGGAGAGGCAGAGCCAGCACAGGACACATTCCTATGAGGATTAGTCCTTGTGTATTTAACACCATATTCTCAAAGAGCTGGGCAAGCATTAAGCATTATCCTGTAGCTCAAGCCAGCCTCAAAAAAGTAATCCATGACTGTTTTGTTGAACAGGATAATCTCCCTCCTCTCAAATTCAGATGGCTGGTGGTGTCTGCAGGGACTCGCTCCATCCATTCCATGACCTAATCCAGATGCTCCAGCACATTTGAAGGACATTTGGGACACCCATCTGGCACCGTGTCCTGCCACAGGGGTTCAGGAGAGCAGGCCTGTGCCCCTTCCTCCCTGGCCAGGTGTCACTGCTGCTGAAGGAGCTGTGGTCAGTGGCTGCTATGACCAAGAGAGAAGAAATTCCAGGCGAATTCCAGCCCTTGGGTCTTCCCAGATACCTGGAAAAACACCCAAGAGCAGATCCTGGCCCTGGGCACAGCCTGTGGCAATGCTGTCTTTAGCACAGCCAAAGTCCTGAACTCGAGTCTCAACCAACACAGTGACCTAAGTATCACTTTTACAGTCAACTTGAGAGGACAAAATACAGGTTTGAAAGCACCAAATAAAACAAAAACAGTATCAGTGTAAAACAAAACCCTGGAAGATAAAAGGGCCTTTGGGGGTTTAGAGGCAGCAACACTGACAACACAAATTCTGACCTTTAAGACCAAATGGTGGCTACTGTGAAGCCAAATGCAGGCTCCAGGGACAAGTGGTTAATTCAAGGGTGCCCATGGCCACTTTGGAAAGCCAAAGTGAAGTTATCTTATTTATTTCAATATATTTTTTTCTCAGGTGTCAGCCTTTGGTTCACACGATGGCCACTGTCTGGGAGGTGACATGGCCAACATCGCCCACTGTCTCCTCCCAGGGGGCACAGTGACCTCACCCTTCTGTTAAAACAAGAAGCACTTGCTCTGGAGGATTAGAAAATGAGCCAACATTTCACATTTTATTTAACATTTCATGCTTATGAAGGGATAGTGCACATAAACATCTGAAAAAGCACCACGGACACCCTCTTAAAAAATACTACAGTCAGGAGCAAGTAGAACTAGAAACTGAGCATTTAATTCCCTTTCTTACCTAAAACCTGCAGATATTAATGCATAACAAATTCATTTCAAAAATACAGGAAAGGATAAAGGCTTTGAGCATTTTTACTAGCTTTCTGCCTCGCTCTATTGAAAAAAATCTAGCAAAATGTTTTGGCCTCAAGTGTAGCTCAGAGGAACCTGTGAAATTCTTCTGACAAATATTTAGCAGTAATGGAAGTTGGATGAAAAGAAATAGTAAATGCATTACTAAATAAGCCAACCTGACACATAATTTTAAATTAAAGTACATGGTGAGGCCTGAACTTAGTATTTTAAAATGATGTAATAGATCTTTGGCATCAATAAGCTGTAGCTATAAATGAGCTAAAGAACAGCATTTCACAGTTCTGTCTAAAAGGCAGCAGAGCCTTTGGCTCCAGCACTGGCCCAAGCCATGGCCAGGTCTCCAGGAATTGTCCCTGCTCACTCAGCATGATGGAGCCAAGTAGAGGCACTGACATTCCCACCACCAGCACTTCCAGGTCCTATGGAGAAGGAGCAGCTCCTGTTTAGAGCCAGGAGCAGTTTATTTACATTGACCAGATGCTTCACAGCTAAGACACCTCAGCTCAAGCTTTTCTCAAGAGCAGGAGGTTTCCAATCCCTCTTAGAGCTCTTGTATTAAAAAAAAAAAAAAAACAAACAAAAAATCAAAATAAAATCTACATAAGATCAATTTCTAGAGAAACAGGCAGCCATACCAAATCAGCACTCTTAATCCAGCAGGGTGTTCAAATGCAGGGTAAAGCCTGAAGCTTTGGCAGGCAGCTGCTTAAAGGTGTTTGAAAATCCCTTGAGCATTTCCATATCTACAAAAACCTGGCCAAGTGGTTCTACAAGTTGAGATTTCCCTTCTTTAGCACTGTAAGACATGTCTTAATGTTTCTGCCTTGTGCATCCTGCAAAAATGGGTTGGATTTCACCATTGAACAAGATGCTTGTTTCATTAATTTTTATTTTGACTTAAGCTTCCAAGCAGATAAACCCATGAAATAAAAATTTTATCATCTAGCAACAAATATCACTAAAATTCCTAGCAGAATAAAAGCCAGGTAATTAATACTAAAGTCAAACAAATAGCAACTAGGATTGTTTACAACTCTAATTCCCAGTAAGGGATGTATTGACTTTAAATTTAGTGCTCACACAAAAACCAATGTGAAGGAATCTTCTTCAATTGCAGAAACAAAGCTGGATCGAAGTTCATCGATACCTTTTACTTTACTTAAAAGCTAACTGAGATCAATTCATCCTACAGAAAGCAGCAGAGCTGCAGGGAAGAAGAAACAGAAGCCCTGGCAGGCTGTGGGTGTTTATAACTGGATCCCATAATTCAGACAGCATTGTCCCTACAGGCACACCCAGGGTGTCCCAGCACCTCCAACACTAAACAGTGCAGATCCTCAAAGCCTTGAGATGAAGATTTTCACCTCAGGAATCCAAAGCATTCACTTTGAGCACACTCCTGCTGGATTATTAAGGATTATCCGCTGTCCTTCCACAGAAAGAAAAGATTAAATTCCTGCAGACGACTCCTGAGGACACACCATGATAGGGCTGTCCCAGAGGAATGGCAGTGACACCAAAAACACACTGGGCACAGGCAGCACCTGGGCTGGCCTTGACCTGTCAGCTCCTGCCCAGCACTGCAGGACATGTGGCTCTTTTTCACTCTACAGACACTCCCTGGGAGATCTGCACACAGGCACAGAGATGGATTTCCTTGTGCCTGGTACTCTCACACCAGAGGTGCTGCTCCAGTGTCACCACCAAATCCTTGTTTGCAGCTCCAGTCACAGTCTGGGCAGCCCTCAGATCCCAGTGACACAAGATTTCCAGAGAAGAATAATTTATAACATTTGGCATC